AAGCTTTAATTATCCTAGAAGGAGCAGCAGCCAGCTCTGTTGTTGTTAAACGCTAAATTTGGCTGAGACAGCAACATTGACATCGTCCGCATCTTCCGCGCGCTAAATCACATGATGTACATGGTATTTCGAAAATCACCCATAAGACGACGCGAGAGAATGGGTGCGGGGCTGAGCATTGGCAGTGTTGATGCTGGCGTGAGGAGGCTGCGACAAGCAACATTGGCATCGCGATTGGCACTTGCGAGCACGCAACGCCACTGACTGCAGCACGAAGGCAATTGCGACGGACGTGAAAGCATCGAAAGCTGCAGGAGCGTGTTATGAGATTCGAGTTCGTCGCGACTCAATCACAGCTCCGAGATCGATATCCATCAAGTAGACGCAAAAGTGACTTGCGTAAAAACAGCAGTGAAGGCAACCATGCCGTGAAACGATATCTGGATGAGGAGAACACAGTCACTCCAAATTTGACATAGTGTGTGAGTATTAACAACATTCATAACTATTTATAATGCTTTCAGCAGATACGTTCTGGAAAAGACAATGCGCTCCATCACCACTCATATTCATTCTCATAAATCGTAAATGTGCCGTGTTCAACCGTATCCGTGTTCGTGAACATTTCGCTACAAGATCGTGCACACAGTGCATCGGATTTCGCAAGCGCTCAGTAGACGAAAAAGGTCTGGACATCAGCGTCCGACTCGCGCATCTTCTTGTTGCGGCGCATGAACATAATCTTAGCAACCCAGGCGGTGAGGAAGGTGGCAATGGAGAAAGCAGCAGAGGAGGAAAGAGCGATGACATAGCGGGGAGCATCGGACTTGGGCCACAAGTAGGGTGTCCAGATGAAGGAGGCGTTCATGATGGTGGTGACGATACCAATGGCAACAGCCTTCTTCTCAGGAGTCTGGCCACAAGTAGATCCGCACCAACCTAGGATAAGAGAGTTGACACCGTATGTTCCAATGGTGAAGATGACCATGGCGACGTAGCGGCCTGCAACACCAAGGGGCGCACATGCGACGAGAAAACCGATGGTAGCGACAATCTTAGAGATGGTGATATGCCATGTGCGCTCGTTGAACTTTCCGGAAGACCAAGAGACAGCGATGGTGACGGCACCGGCGATGAGGTAGGGTGGGCAGGTAAGGACGAGGGTAACGGTGGTGCTGAAGCCAAGAGTCTGGACAACAGTAGGAAAAAAGTTCTTGAAGCCATTGGCGGCCACTAGAAATATTATGTTAGTCAGAATGCGACTGATTGTGAGATCTAGAACTTACAGTGCATGTGGGCCATGAAGGCGAAAACCCAGACCATGGGGTCCTTAGCAGCCTGGCGGAAACCAGTCCAGACGGAGGTGTCCTCGCTCTTGCCGACAGTATCGATGGCCATGCGACTGACAGCAAGATCGCGCTCAGCCTGTGTGAGCCACCAGGTGTTGTGAGGGAAGTCGGGAAGCAGGAAGAAACCGACGATGGCAATCAGGAAGGTAACGATACCCTGGAGGATGAAAAGCCACTGCCAGCCAGAGATGCCGGCAACGCCACCAAGACCGTGGAAAATACCAGCTGCAATCAGACCAGCGAAGGCAGTGGCGAGAATGTTACCGGTATAGAGGATAGCAATCCGGGTGGCGACCTCCTTACGGTTGTAGAACATCGAGAGGAGATAGACGGCACCGGGGTAGTAAGGAGCCTCCGTGACACCCAAGAAGAAGCGAGTAAGCAAGAGGCCCTTGAAGTCCTTCGCTAGAGCAGTCAGGGCAGAGACGACAGCCCATAGCATCATACAAATACCCATGTAGCGGGATGGGCGAGTTCGGTTGAGGAACATGTTGGAGGGAATCTGACCCAGAAGGTAACCAACGAAGAGGATGGACACACAGGTCTGGTACTGTGTGCTGGTGAGGTTGAGTTTCTCTTCGAGGTCGTCGAGACGAGCGAGCGCAATGGCGTTGCGGTCGAGATAATTGAGCCAGTACATGGACCACAGCATGGGCATGATCCATCGGTCGAGCTTCTTGACAAGGGCGATTTCCCTTGGGTCGGTCTTTTCGTAGGCACCAGAGTAATCAACCTTGGCGATGGCAGGCACAGACTTCTCAGGGAACTCATCGTTGGTTCTCTGCTGCTCAAGTATGACAACCTCGTTGTCCTTCTCGTTGGACACCATGGCGGCTTTCTGTGGCGATGAGGGTCAAGTAGAGGAAGAGTATCGATCTCGTTAGACGAGGCTCTTATGGTAATGTGGAGAAGCGACGAGGACCAGTAAAAAGTATGACTGAGCTGATGATCTGGAGAAGTAGAATCTGGGGATGTGGAGAAGATCTTTATACAACATTTTACGCTCATGGTGCCATGTGGGACAGAAATCAGTTACCACTTCGGGTTGGCAACAGCCCGGAGAATCTCGACTGATACTGGATATCGTTGAAACGCATACCAAGACACTTGTGCACGCTTCTACCGGCCGCCTTGGAATCTGAGGCCTTTCGTGCATGGATGCTAGGGTTCAGTGGAGGCTCCGATGGCAACTTTGCCCGACTCAACCTCAGGCCTGCATGCGGGGATACTCTGAGAGGCGTTTGAATCGGAGTATAGTCCCACCCACACAACCGCTAAGTACCGCTAAGTTTCCGTCCCCCGATAGTTCGTGATGTTAACTGGCTCCCTGTGGCGTTGGTCCGATGTTGGCCTTAACCGCTTTTGCTACCACCGATACATTGCACTCTCCTAGAGCTCCGGTAGTTGCCATGACACGAATACCACACCTCTTGGTGCCAGCAATGAAGCTCTGGTGGCCTTCCTACACAATGAATACCGACCGTCTGCGGTTGCTCGGTTGCGCGATCACTGAGTTCATGACGCCGATCACAACGGCCAAAGCCTGGACTCGCAAGTGAACAACGGTCTCGCTTGGAAGGAAGGCTGCATACCAAGAAGTTCAGCACCCCACCGGGTAGCAAGAAATCGCTTTTGGAGACATACTCACCGGCAGATGCGCGACTCGCTGCCAGGTCCGGTGACGAGCCCAGAAACGAGCCTGACGCTTGGCGCTCTTGTCGCCATCCAAGAGACACCACTAAGCCATGGCAAGCCACAAGTTTCTTGGATATGGGCAAAGTCGTGGTTTTGTCTGCAGAAGATGGCACACGGGCGCTGCATTTCGTGCTAGGCCAAGGAGGGCCCAGACTCCCCCAAGTTTTAGACCCGGGGCTTCATTGCGGGGAAACGATCGGGCTGGTTGCATGAGGGACTTGACGCTCTTGTGAAGCGTGCACCTCCTCGTGCGGTTTGAACCAGAGCAGGCCTTGTAATTTTCTAGCGTGCAAGCTTCGTCTCGAGTCCGTTATTGAGGAGTCAGGACTGAATGGAACCATCCTCCACGAACTGCGCAGCCAATCACAATCGCGCCAAGTCGAGATGCTCTCTTGGCTATCGGCGGAATGCAACACCAGCTGCCTACCCCACGGGGAGTTTCGGAAGGGGACTGAGAAACAACGGTAGATGTACCTTGTCGTGAGGTCAAGTCCATGGAGTTGTGCTGTCCGAGCGCCTCTCAAACAGCTGTTACTCAGCACAACTGAGCTGCGCGCCTCCACCGACGATACTTGCCCCGTAGTGATCGAGTATTAGTGATCGAGTAGCGCAGCCTTGGACGCACGTCTGATCGAATTGCTGGCTGCGGAGTTTGTTGATGCTCACGTGTGCCGAAAAAGTGTCGGAGTGCAGATGATAGCGTAATGATTGTTTGTGGGTTTGGGCCTGTGTGCACACGGCCTTGGCGATGGGGCGGAAGATGCCCATCGTCAATCATCAACAGACCCTCAACCACACGGACAGTGTTGATCGACATCAGCGCATGTGCATCCCCATGGGGCAGATTGACTTTGGCGAGGTCAAACGGCTGACGGTCGACCAGGACTCCGGGCGAACGTGGGGGCCTGCCGATGAATGCTGTGTCTTGCCGTGACGGTTTTCGTGATACGATCGAGGGCAAGATGTCGAGAGGTGGCCGATGTGGTACATACTCGAAACGCGAAGAGCCAGCGGGAAACGAAAAAATCATACGAGTTGATAAGAGATGGCTGGCTACAAATATCAATGTCGCGAAGTATGCACGGAAAAGTACCCGGGCGGCTGCAGGATTGCTTCATCCGCACGGAAAGGGCGGGTCCCTGCAGAAAGGCAGGCATCACGTATTGCACTGGGCTCCTACCGTTGTTGATTGCCACGCGCCGATGGTTTGAGGTGTGGGGCTCGTGGCCTTTCAGTGCAGCGTGTGGTCGTGTAGCTCTGCCTCCCGCAGCCCAAAACTTCATCACTTCTGCATGCATGGATCCACCAGCCTAGATATCACCTACGAAACATTCCTCAATAACGTGGAAACCCTCTAGATATGGGAGAACAGGCGTCGTACGGCCAAAGGGTATCACAAACTCGCCAGCGGCTGTACATATCGTATACATGCAGCATGGTGCAAGTCCAGCTCATCGGCAATACAATGTACTTTATAGATTGTACGTACATTTCTCATACGACTAGAAGAATTCCAGCCGACTCAACTCATCCCTCCTACCGCCGAGAAGAATCAAAGGAGGCAGAGAATGTCTGCAGTGCAAACAGGAAGTTATTCGTGGCCGTGACTCGGAGCGAAGAATACTCGACAGTCGACTATCTGGGCAAAGAGCCGTCTTTGGTCATAAGCTCTGCGGGGCAGAAGCGGTCACCCACAGCCTTTGTAAGCCCTGGCCAAACGTACACAATATTGATCTGGTGAGCTATTACGACTGCAGCTGCAGAAGGCATAGAAGCAGGAGAATAAATATGCCGATTGCTGTCATGCTACCTATATGTGCGTATACTACTTCAATTCCAACCTCATGGCGTCGTACTGCACATACAAGGCTTCAGGAAGCAATGCGCTCTCGTAGTTCTTACCACCGTATGGCAAACTCAACACAAAAGTGTTCTCGCCCTCCCTCAACAGCTTTGCATCGAATACGAACTTGTTTGCGATGTTGTAGCAGATAACTGCCGACCTTACGGCGCAAGAACTGGAGTGGTGATACGGGATAACCCAAGGCTGCAAGTCCCTGCCGTTAACGTTGACAGTGTACGGAAGGTTGGAGTATGGCTCGCTCGCATTGTAGACATCGGTGTTGCCCGCCGCCGTCTTCGCACCTGCAAGCTGAACAGTAAATGTCGCTGTCTTCCGATTCTTGAGCTGCTGCTCCTTTGCGTCGAAGAGGATTGTCCAGTTGTTGATTTTCTCGTAGACAGGCTCAGGACGCTCGTAGTTCGCCTTGCCACCGAAGATGCTCCAGTGAACGTAGTTGAGCGCCTGGGAGGGGTCGTCGCGACCGACTTTGTAGGTGACGCCCTCGGGAAATTCCGTCACAAAGTCGTAGTCGGCCCAATACAGTCTGTACTCGTCGGTAAGCAGAGGGTGGGTGGGCGACTGAGCATATCCGTGGCGGTACTCTCCAGACGACTTGTCAGGTGTACCAATGCGCCAGAGCTCGGTCCCAGCGCTTTCAGGGTTCCACTTCGCCTTGATATTGGTGTTCTTTCCAGCATTGACCTTGACATCGTCCTGGATATAATCGCCGAAGACACCATCAGCGTGAACAGTCAGGCGGTAGTTACCAGCCTTGACGCGGTCAATGCTCACATCGCCATTCGACGACACCTCAGCCCAGTACTGGTAGGCCTTCGTATCGTAGACGTTGTCTTGGTAATCAACACCGCTCTGAGCGAGGACAGCGATGGCATTCTTAGCTCCCTTGGGCAAGTCAACTTTGGCCTTGAAAGTGCCACGGCCAGCTGCAGTGACTAGGTTGGGAACATGCTTCGCAATGGAGTCATAGAATCTTGCGTTCCAGCTAGGGTTGAGACCGTACTGGTCAGCATCAGCGCGTAGTTCCTCAAGGGAACCGCCTTTATTGAAGTGGAAGTATTGTGGTCCAAAGGTCCGGTCGAAGCCATGGGTGATATTAGGGGTCTGGTCACCGTGGTGGTTGCTGCTGATGTAGTTGTAGACGATTCCGTCGACGACGAGATCCGAGTGCAGCGGTCCGCCGAAGTAGGTCTCGACGGTGTTATGTACCAGCCATGCGCCGTATGTTGATCCGTTGGCACTGCCAGATCCATCTGCCCACATGCCGTGGGACTTGTGCTTCCTCCATGTGTCCTGGAATCTAATATCGGTTAGATCATACATTTTGTCCAAGTTTCCACTCTGCGACTTACGTGTACTTTGTGAAATAGTCGCCCACCTGCTGAACATACGGATCGTCCTTGTTGGGAAGGTACCAAGTGGCATCCTGCACAGTCACCTGGCCTTCAGTGCTTGGCCTAGGAGCAGCAAACTCCTCGTTTGTTACGAAATGGGTGAACAGAGGAGGATCATGGTTAGGTCTGAACATAGTCCGCAATTCCTGCAGATTACGCAGAAATGGCGCAGTCTCGTTGTAGTAGGCGACGCGACTGAAAGTATGCAGACCTGTCTCGCCTTCTCTCAAGAACCAGTACTGTTCCAAACGCTGGCCGGTAGGTGCGTATGTCTCGCCCATGCTGATGCCTCCATACTTTACACCGGTTGCATCCGTTCCGTTGAATAGTTGGTAGTCTACATTGCTGCCTCGACCGGGTGTCCAGAATCCGGATGGAGTACAATAGCAGTCAAGGTATGGTCCTACGCCTGTGTTACCATCCTCCTTCCCAAGCAGGTTCTGACCGTCAAGCGTGAGCAGGTTGATGTAGCCGCGGGTCTTGCTGACACCAGCGACGAGGCGCTCGTTAGATATGACAAGGGTGCTGTTGTTTTCCGAAGCCTTGAGCAAGGCCCATGTTAACGATGTCAAAGACAGCAGAGCCGTACTTGTCGCAAGAGTGGAACGCATGGTTGGAATAGACCGCCAACGAAGAACACTGGGGACTTGTAAGAACGCCTTTCCCCCATGTTTATAGTTACAACCCAAGACTTTTACCCGGAAAACGGGAAAACTACACCACCCGACACTGGTCAACAGACCAGCAAACGGGGGGCCTAACCCAGCCCTATAGATGAAGAGCTCAACTTTTGAAACGACGAAACAACATTTGAACGTCAAAATTTGTTAGTTGTTCTCCGCGCGCGCTGCTCCATAAGATGCTGTAGTAAGGACCAGAATCTGTAGGCATATAAAAGAGCTCTTGCAAACTGCTTCCTGCAAGGAATCCTTCAGGGGACAGGCCTGGTCGGTTGACGATGGGGTGTACATGGGGATCAGGGGCAAACGCTCGCTGGAATGCATGTTCAGTCCGGGGAAATGTGGGGATAGCAATATCACGTCGGTTCTTCGGTGTACATGCAACCGAGCCAAGACGCGAACGAGTCGCACAGCCTCATGCGAGCGAGGACTGCACCTAAGCGACTCCTGCTAGCTGCATGCAGAAGCTGGTGAGTTTCGAACGCACTGGTCAGAGAGTTGTGGAGATGGTCAAAAGGAAAGATAAGGGACCCACAGAACAGCACGTACGCAAGCGCGTGACATGATTACGTCATCGAGTCGGTGTCACCCGTCGATGCATAACGTCGCAACTACACACTGTACCTCCATCTGAGGCTACTTTATTGCCTGGGAGGTCTTCGCTACAGTGATGAGACCTTCGACAGATATCGTGCGGGAGCACTCGCCGCTCCTGCACGTTGATGAAGGGACAAACGTAGTTACCCTCACCCACGATGATCCAGAGGAGCCTAGAAACTGGTCTGCAGTGCGGAAATGGTTAATGGTCGCTGCAATCATACCCATTGATCTCAGCGTCAGTTGGGGTGCTTCAGGGTACGAGCAAGTTCTCCGCAATTATATTCGTCACTGACCCTTGTGTAGCTTTTCGCCTGTAGCCAGTGACTTTGCGAAGGACATGGATGTGCCCACACATGTCGCAACACTTGGATTGAGCATGTATATCCTTGGACTGGCGTTTGGGCCGATGTCATTAGCACCTCTATCGGAGTACTTCGGACGACGACCGGTGTACATCTTCGCCTATGGTATCTTCCTCGTACTGTTGCTGGCAACTACCTACGTCGAGAGCCTCGCACCTTTCTTGGCCCTCCGACTGTTCTCTGGCTACTTCTCTTCAACCACTATTTCGAATTTCGGTGGGACCATCGCAGATCTCTGGCACCACAATGATACCGGACCAGCTATGTCGTGGTTCTTGTGGGCTGCAACAGGCGGCTCGCCAACTGGCTTTGTTCTATTCTCATTCATTGCGCACGGAAGAACATGGCGTGATGTGTTCCGAGTCATGTTCTTCATATGTCTCTCCTTCTGGGTCGTTCTCGTCATCGCATTGTACGCTCTCGGTGAGACGCGACATAGCGTCATTCTGCTGAAGAGGGCGAAGAAGTTGAGGAAGGCCACTGGAAACAATGAGATTGAAGTACCAGACGAACTTAGTCAACGGGGACCCAAGCAACTTTTTGGCTCGGCACTTGCGCGACCGTTCCGATTCCTGGCTACAGAAGCCATTGTTCAGTTCGGCGCGTTGTACAATGGCTTTCTCTACGGTTTATCCTTCCTCTTCAATGGTGCTTTCCACATAATCTTCGGGCCCAACGGCTATGGATACAACACCATCGGCATCGGCATTTGCTTTCTAGGCATCGTATTTGGGATCTGCTTCGGTCTGTTCACAAATGTTTTCCAGGAGCGATACTACCAGCGTCAGGTTGCTAAAACTGGTCAGCGCGACGTTCCAGAGGCACGATTATACCATGCCAAGCTGGCTTCTATAGTCTTGCCCATATCTCTACTGGCTTTTGCGTTTACGGCGGACCCAAGTGTGCATCCTATTTTCCCGGTGCTTGCATCTGCCTTCTGGGGTTGGTCGTTCTACTGTCTCATTCTTATGACCTTGACGTATACGGAAGACGCATATAAGTCGTTCTCGGCATCAGGACTCGCTGGCGTGGGATTAATACGGAATTTGGCGGGCGCTGGATTCCCCCTGGTTGGAAGGAGTCTATTTCTCGGTATCGGCACAAGAAACGCATGTCTTGTTCTGACAGGGCTGGCAGTATTGTTGGCACCGATCCCATTCGTTTTGGAGAAGTACGGTGTGTCACTACGAAAACGCAGTCCGTGGGCTACTGCACACGGAGATGAAAGCGACGACGAAGAGGGTTGAAGTGTAAAAACACCAGGATAGCACAGACCTTCGGACATCGATGCTAAAGCATCCCGGATACGGCAGCCTGAATTTTCCAAACACACCTAATTTTTCGAGCTATAACGTGTCCCTTGTGTCCATTTGTCATTGAGCAAAGCTGCGATAAGTGCGAACGTCAACACAACATTCTGCAATCCGACCCTCATGACCCGAGGTCTGAGTGCGAAGACCAAAACCGTGGAGATGACGTTACGGGGGAATTTTACGCCCACAACGGCGTCTGCAACGACCTATTATTTTGTTAATGGAAGCCTTCGGGGACCGGAGCACAAGATGGAGAACTCACGTTTGTGTAAGAATAAGTAAGATAGATCAAAGCCACACTACACATCGGAGGCATCGCGAACGAAAACATGTCGATCCCGCCAGCTACGATTGACCAGTGGGGACCTTTACCAAGAGCACATCTGAACATCATCAAGCCTGGAGGCCATTAGGACAGGTTTCCTGCTGATCGGCGCGAAGGCAAGTAGAAGCCAAAGCTCCACTTCCGGTTCGCATACCCCATCGTGGTTGCAGGCCAGCCACAAGATCAATCGATCACTGAATGGCGAGCTAACAACAGTGCCAAGCGTACTGCTAATGAGGGCTGGTATGCTCATCAAGCCTACCTGAGAGGCGTTGAAGTTGTATGGTGGGGATGGCAGATATCGAGATCAATGTCACGGGCACTTGGAAGGCGGCGGTGACGAGACCGTAGAGAAGTACAACAAAGAGGACTGCGGGCATGGGCGTCATCACGAAGAAAGGTTGGTACGTGTGGTGCAACGACTGCAGCATCGAGCCCTCCGACGTCAGCCAAGGTGTCAATCGTCGAAGGTGTGACGAAGCTTGAAGATATTGCTGACGAGAAGGCTGGTAACATGCTGTATGCTGATGACGGTGAGCCAGAGACAATGCTCTGCAGCAGACTGCATGGTGGAATGAAGTGATGGGAGATGTATTCTTCATTCTGATGCACATGTAGCCCACAGATAAAACATGGTGCTTACCAACGCCAACTCCACTCAAAGTTCTCCCCTGATCTTAAACTGGTAACGCTAATGTACCGATGTAGTTCCTGGCCCATGGACCTTACAACTCGATCGCTTCCTCCCCAAAGCCAGCCCATGCCTTCCAGCTAGCCCAGCCGCTGCTCTTCTCACCAGGCAATCTGCTAGCCTCAATCTCCTCAGGTGTCACACTGTACCATTCCTTGGTGGGAATCCAACCAATATATGCGCGATCTCCGAATCCACCAATCCAGTATACCTCGTCAACCACCAACCTCACCCACCTGCTCTCATGAATCCTGTTACCAGGCAGCCACCACGCAGCATCCGGGTGATACTTGACAAAGCATGTCGTAAGCGCCGTCTTACTAACCTCCTCAGCACTGATCTCCTCCAAATGTCCCACAAGCGAGAATCGCGGCAGCGACGCCGGACTGCGCCACACGTTATCCTGGGGGTGCCAGCGCATGCTGAGCGTGATATTTGAGCCCGCATCGACGTTCTTGAAGGACGTCGCGATGCTGATAGCGAGGATTGTAGGGTTGCCTGTGTTGGGCTCGCAGTCGCCGAAGTAGTCCATCAGCCCGATCGGGGCGCCGTCGACGGAGGGCCGGTTCTCGGCGGTGTGGTGCGAGGGGAACACGGTCGAGAGCGTGCCGATGCTTTCGAGGCGGAGGATACGGCGCGCTTGCACGGCAGACTCATGGACGCTGGGAATCGTGAAGCCCGTGGCATGTTGGGCTAGGTTGGTGAAGAGGCGCTGTGGTGATGGGAGGGAGGTAGCCGAGGTTAGGGAGATAAGAGACAGGAGGGCGGTGGAGAGATACATGATGCTTGACTGACGCACAAATGATGGAGAGAGAAGATTTGATAAATATAGGACACCGGTATGGGAGACTGAGACTGAAGCTGTCACCAGTATGGTGTAGAAGGTGAACGGAGCTTCAAGCGGGACAAACAAGGTGCATCACGCGATTATGCTGATGGCGGGGGGCTAAATATTGTTACCGAGACTCAAGAGATATGGTCCTATACCGGAGGACTGAGGGCTTTAGCTTCAATAGGATTGTTTGCAACGAATTGCAGCATCGTGTTCGCCAAGCTGGTGGATGATGTTGTTGCCAGCCAAGTACGCGTTCCTTCAGTTTGACGTTCGCGCCTTCCATCTGATAAGACAAGGTCGCAGCCGCCAAGGCCACCCATGCCGGATACGGCAGGCTCGCTTCGCACACAGCCAAAATCGATACCTCACCTTTGACGCCGCCCCCCCAATCATCGACAACCTCACCGCCAACCTGTACGTATCCCGCCCGCATGGCTGCACCGTCCGCGACCTCTGAACACGAACGTTTCGACGAAAACACTCTCGCGCCGCCCGCACACACCTTTTCCACAGGAGAACATAGCTAATCTGCGATTTGCCACAGAACCAACAGTCGCCAACTCATCAACCCCATCAACCGCAATCATGGGTAAGGTTCACGGATCTCTCGCTCGTGCCGGAAAGGTTAAGTCTCAGACTCGTAAGTTACTATTCAAATCGAGTGTGTAACGAGTGCTAACAAGCCGCAGCCAAGGTAAGCCTACACTCTTCCTGAATACACGCACGACAACCGCGACAACGATTCGGCCCCACGCACTATCCGGCGGATGCATCGAGGGCGCAGGATGTGGCGAATGCTGGACGACAGGAGAAACTGGTATAGAGGCTGACACGCTGGAATAGGTTGAGCCCCAGGAGAAGAAGAAGACCCCCAAGGGTCGCGCCAAGAAGAGGCTCACTTACACCCGCCGTTTCGTCAACGTCACCATGACCGGCGGCAAGAGGAAGGTTAGAGGAAACGGACATCCTTATGAAGACGAAATGCTGACCCGGTGCAGATGAACCCTAACCCCACATCGTAAACAACTCGATCGCGGGAGGGCGTTCGGAACGAGTACGATGAGCTAGACGTTTTGTCATGAATTCGGTTTCCTCGGGCTGGCTATGACTCTGGATCAGAGGGAGTGGGACTCTCCGTATGAGGTGGACGTCGCCACGGCACATCACCCCGCAGCAGCAAGATCCCACACTTTGGGATGATGGGGGCATACTCATGGCGTAAATGTACATTCGGCTTTTGCACGGCTACATCACAAAATAAAGCTTTTTGTGACTCACATCTTTCTTTTGCCTTGCATCTTGTCGTTTTGTTTCGTGCGTGTCTCCGGTTGGCCGCGTCGACTGTTATCTTACCCGCGACAAACTTCAATTCACGGCTGGAGACCCATCACTGCTTGCTTCAGGTTTCACATGCGCCATCAAAAGGTCGCACATCCCCGCAGTCTTGCACGAGAGGGCGGATGAGTGGGTTGCAGCCGGTTGGTCAGCGACGCGCCTCAGGCACAAAGCTCCGACCAAGCGAACGACGTCACCCTGGCTTCTCAGCTCATCAGCCGCCTAAGCTCCGACCAAGCTCTACCATCAAACAAGCAACTTCAATCCCAGTACCCCAAACACCACCATCAATATGTTCAAGCGAATCTTCGGCGAGGTACGTTCTCACCAATTGGCTTCTAGTATGCACCACTGAGCATACCCCAGCACGGCGCAAAGAACGTCGTAACCCTCTTCCACAAACCCTCCTCGCAGGCCTCTCTGCGAGCTCACACCATCCTCAAGCAAGCCAACGCGCAATCCGTTGCAACTGCCACCGAAGACCAAGCCAGCAGTCACGATGCCCAGAACAAGGCCGAGCGCACAGAGTTCGAGCTCGATGTCACAGAGGCACCGCCCACGGCCGACCAGCTCAAGAATATCTTGGAGTACCTGGGTGGACCGAGTGCGGTCGGACGCATCATTGAGGGAGCCAAGGACGAGACAGATGCGTTGAGGAGGCTGAAGGCGGATGGGGAGACGTTCAAGAGGCCGCTGGTTGTAGACTGGAATCAGGGAAAGGCTGGTGAGTTCACTGCATTTGTATGATATGTTTGTAGGGTGTACTAACAAGATTGCAGTTGCTGGCGACAGCGAATCTGAGATCCTGAGCCTGCTCAAGGGCATCTCGGCTGAGAAGAAGTAGGAGGTTGAGCGTTGCATGTAGCACAAAAGACACCTGACACAAGGTCTGTCATCTAGATTTCTTGAACCGCTGTCTCGTGTTGCTTCATTCGATAACTTTCACATCGAACATGCAAGGACCCTCACCGCTGCTCCGTGCATAAGCACTGACGTGCGGGCGACGGGTACCTGCAGGAACCTTAGGTGGCTTCCTTTCACGCCAGTCCCTAGAGAGGACGGTAGATTTTCCTGTCTCGCACGCTTTGTTTGTCTAGTTCACCGCCGCCCGCGTCTTCGTCCTGTTTGTTTTGTCTCAATTCCTTAATGGCAGCTCTTTCGTGCGCAATGTCTACAGGTGCTGGCTCCTCCATCACCCAGCAACGAACTGCGGAAAGACGACGCATCTCCCCGGAATCATTCGTTGGTTGACGACTCACCTTCACCTCACGTCGCCGCTGCGCCCGCCAAGACAGCACCTTCCATTATAGCCAACAGGCTCCGGCCTCTACACTCACTCCCACCACCTTTTCACTCTCTACAAGCCGCCTTCAACGTCTTCTTTCCTACCGGCGTACGGCGTCCCGCGATATGCACTTGCTTTGTTGAAGCTTCTGTCTCTCGACTTCTTCTCTTAGCCTTTGTATTTACTTCTTCCACTTGCGCCACCATGGGCGAAATGCAACAGTTGCTGCCTGCGGCAGTCAGCTCAAACAGTCAGCCGACAATTCCAGAGTCGAAGCAGTCCGTGTCACCTGCACCCTCAGACAATACCGTCACCGCACCGCTAGTGAGCTCGAACAGCAATGTCAAGCCACAGCAAGGTCGAAGAAGCGCCATCTTCAGCACAGATCTGGGGCGCCGCGCGCCGCGTGGACTACAGCACCCAAGATTCTGCCAGCCTATTGCGCGCAGCGACACAGTCATGGACGTCGTTGTTGGGGCAGGTCACTTGCTGCGCAAGTACCCCTACCAGTATATGGACATTTTTCCACAACAAGATTGGCAGATCGGCGACCTGTGGGATGATCATGACATTCAGATCGAGGGTGAGGGCTACTTCACAGAGATGCTCGGCTTCATTGAGCGTGACAATGTCGTTCGAGTGCAGAAGTATGCATGCGAGTATGCTCAGAAATACACCGGGCGACTGAACCTTATTGGAGGTGACCTCACAGGGCTTTACGACGAGGCCAGTCACCTCTCGATCGTGGACAAGATATTTGTCAATGGCGAGACCCGCGACTACCCACCTGTATTCCTCTGGAAGGTCGCGCACTTCCTCCGCACAAATATGCTCGCAATCCAGAGCATGTCGGTACCGCCCAAGGATGCAGCCGGTGCTCCAGGAGGTCCGGTCACGAGTCACAAGGACTCTGTGGTACACAGTACTGTGCAAGCTCCAGCATCAGTCGAAGCTACTGCGAGCGCACCTGCTGCCACAACCACTGCAACGAAAGGTAAGACGATCATGGCATACCTGCCATCGGGCCACAACTGACATGATCATAGCATCCACTCCTGTTGTCAGGCCAGCGCCTACAATGCCGCATACGCAAGCGATTTCCACCTGGCATCAAGAGCAACAATTCCCTCGCCTTCCAGCCGGTGCACCTGTTAACGGTCGCTTCGCCCCATCTGCCGGTCCTGTAGGAGGACTTGGTTATACCGAGCCCATGGGACACATGGTGCCAGTCTTGCCTGCACATCATGCTGTCGGTCCAAACATGGCGCGCTCTAGCATGCACTACCCTCGAACTCGGGCCCGTTCCGCATCTGGATCGCACAATCAGATCACGCCAGCAAGCCCGTATGTTGAGAACATGCCTCGCATCTCATCAGGATTCGGTCCCCGTCAGCATGCTGGCCCGATGTTAGCGACACAATCGCCACGATTCCACCAAGCGCACATGGCAATGAGCCATCAGATGAGCAGCGTTACGCCAAACATGATGCCATTTGTGTACGACCAGGACCTGATGGGACCAGGAACAATGGCAGGCCAGCCTCATCCTACTGGCGCCATGCATCCCGGCTCTATGTCTCATCACGCAAAACCGGGTCCTCCAATGGTGCATGCCTACCCACGATACACGTCTAATACACAGGTCCCACCGTTCGCTATGCCTATGGCCGACATGACGAACGTGCATTACGGAGGACATCCGGGAATGCCCATGCAGCATGTGGATCCACGTCACCCGAACGATCGTCGTCTCAGCCAGCAGCACGCTAATGGCAACGCTTTGTACGATCCCTACGAGGGCAACAATGTAGCATTTAGAAGTGCAGGGTGTCCCAACGGCAAGAAGTTCAATCAGAATGGTATGCACAATTCCAACGGCCGCCAGCGCAAGCCTTCATTCCCAGGTAGCCGTCCCTACCATGGCCAGTACACAAATGGACGGCCACAGACAGGAGGCCATTACGTTCCTGGACCAAAGCCTTACTTGGAGGATGATCTTACGGTTACACAAGATCGGGAATACGGCTGCCACATTGACTGGATCGGTCCACAGAACACGACTGTGAACGAGCTGTACGTAAAGGACTTGCCAGAGGACATCCGAGAGGCAGAACTGCAAGCCCTCTTTCAAGAGCGACTGGGTACTAGGCCGACATCAATCAACCTTCGAGTTAGCCCTCAGTTGCCGCAACAGATCCAGGCTCGGAAGCATGCCTTCGTTGGGTAGGTTGGCCTTCATATATCTGCAGTACTCAAAGCATGTTGCTGACTAGCCATAGATTCTCTAGCTGCACAACTGCCAAGCAGGCGCTCCACATTCACAATCCTACTATTCGTGGGCTCACAATCTCCATCACAGTTCCCAAGCGGTTCTTCAAGAAGACGTTGGACGTTCCACAGCGAGACGTGGTCGAGGCAGGCCCCTCAGCCTACTCCCGGTACACAAGCAATCCCAACAACCGCGAAGGTCGCAATCGCGTCTCTTCGGTTCACGAGAGCAACGATGTCACAGATTCGACTGCTGTGACGAAGGAGAAGCTGTCGTACTCCCCACAGGATGCTAGAAGCGACCTGCCCAAGAAGAAGAAGGGCAAGCAGACTCAGCAATCTCAAGCTACTGCTGGCAGTCCCGAAACTCGCAAGGCGAAGCCGAGGAAGCAAAGTCAGGAGTTACCCACAGAAGAGAAGCCCACTCCACCTACGAAAGCAGTCAAGACTGATGATTTGGACGTAAGCGCCAAAGCTGACGAGCCCGTCTTAGAGTCAATTACCATTGATGAAACCATCCCCACTGTCAGCGCACAGACTGAGAAGCCTCAAGCCAGCGATATGACTCCTCCTGTCGCAATAGAAGACGCTGCCAAGTCCGCCGATACAGAAGCTATTGTTTTGAACCCAGGCGCGGGTGACAAAGCTGCAAAGGCCACACCCAAGAAGTTCCTACTAGAGCAAGCGAGCCCTGAGGCCCAACAAATGGTTGACCCTCGTACCGAGATCATGGTTGAGGAGGATCTGGTCAAATCGCAGGTTGACGCGAAAGATACTGTTGCACAGCCAGTGCTCTCGATCCCTCTTGAGTCAGAAGTGTCACCTTCGGATGACGAACTCAAGAATGAAGCGAGCTTCCACTCCGCAGCCGAATCACAGTCTGACCTGGAAGCGAAGGTAAATTCAAAAGTTGGTTCGGACGTCACGAACCACGGTTCCACTACCCCGGCTCCTACCACTGATATTGCCACAAAGAACGTCGATATCCCGTCAGGGGACGCTCTTATCTTTACAGCAGCAGAGAACGAGTTGCCTGAAACTGCACCAAAAGTACTAGCCACGCCATCAGCCGAGCTCCAGGCAATTGCAGTTCCAGCAGCCACACAGGAGGATACGAATGCGCCCACGACATTGACCGTTATCAGTGAACAGACAAAGAAGAGCGGCCCTCAGCAGACTGAGGCACTCTTTCCCCTAAGTAAGAAGCAACTGGCAACTCAGGCAAAGAGGGAAAAGGAGCAGAAGAAAAAAGCTCAGAGGAAAGAGAAAGAGCTGACACAGAAGGCGAAAGCCGAGAAGGTCGCAGCCAGTAAATCTGTCGCAAAGAAGGTTCCAGCTGCGAACGTAACGACTGTCAACGTGCACGGCACCGTTGATAAGACTGACGTTGACATTGAAGCGAAGCTTGCAGTTGATGTTAAGTCAGCTAGCATGAGTGCAGCTACTCCTCCAACCACTCGAGATGTCTTGAACACGAATGCATCTACAAAGAAGCTAAAATCTGCTACGTCGCAAAAGACTGCTGACAGCAACCGCGACAAGCCAGAAAAGCGGAAAGGCAAAACATCAGCCCCCAAAGTTACAGCTTCGGCAGAGGACAAGAGTGAGGACCATGGTAAGCAAACCAACGGCACCAGCATTTCCCACGAGACCGGCTCAGTGACCAAGAAGGACGTGAAAGTCGAATCCCAGGGAAGTACGCAGGAGACGGCGGTAAAGGAGAATACACAGGAGAACGCCCCAGCTCCGGATGCACAGTCATCTGAGCAAGATGACAGCAGGGATGTCGCTAGCGGCATGCCAGGTTCTAACACTGCTGTGGCTTTTGGTGATTCGTCAACTCCTTCTGGAAAGAAAAAGAACAGGAAGACGAGAAAGAACCCTGCCGTTACAGAGGGCGCGGAGGAGACGACCAAGCCAGGTCTAACTTGGCCGAATCTTGAGTTCCGCCCCAAGTCGCCCAACCCACCGTGGATGGGCCCAATCGACATGGAAAATGACGTTCAGAAATACGAGAAGATCATGGACGAGGCTTGCGGTGGACCTGACGACTCAGAATACTCGTGGTCTGACTTACCGACCATGGAAGATGTCCTGAGTTCAGATGAGGGTGAGGCCCCGGCTGCTCAAGCTGGTGGTAGCAGACACCATCTGAGCATGGATGTGAACGAGGTGCAGAAGAGGAAGACGTACGCGAGCGCGCTCTTTCCCAAGATCAAGAAGTTGCAACCGGACACGGCCACCGAGATCCTCGCTCGTGTCGTCAACGTCGCAACAATCGAGGAGATGGCCAAACTGTATGGACACCCTCTGCCCCAGCTGTGTCGTTTACTGACCCGATTGTCCAGTGTCACCGACAATGCTGCTCTCGTCGAGAAGGTCGATGAGATCGTGTTGTTTGACCTGAGCCAGAATACTGCGGACTCGAAAGATTCACAGCCTGTGGCCACCCAGTCAAGCACCGTCTCCCGAGAGGAGATTGTCAATAGGGGCCTTGCAGCCATTGAAGTTCAGATTGGTAAGCAACATTTCAGTCCTTTCGTCGATCCATTGCTTATATTCGCAGCTGCCAAGAAGGAAGAACTGGAAGCGGCAGATGTGAATTGTGCCGCGTACGACAAGCAGCTGTCGGAGCACAAGGGCACTCAAGAGACCTCCAGTGCTGATGAAGGCCGCGTTGCAGTCCTTGAGGCTCAGCTTAGTAAGTGGTCTGATGTTTGGACGCACGGGAATGTGCTAACAATTGAAGCTGCCACCAGGGCAGAGACTGCAGCAGCCGAGGCAAACGTTGCTGCTCTCGAACAGCAGCGCGCAGAGCGCACGGATGGCCAGGATTCTTCTTACGCAGTCACACCGGATTCTCAGCCAGCAAAGAAAAAGAAGGCGAACAAGCACAAGAAAAAGAAGAAGAAGAAGCCAGCTGAGAACGGCGAGGCCTCGAACCCTGGAGATCCAGTCGACACCACTGTAGGTACAGCTTCTACCCCATCAAAAGCCGCAGCTGGTCCCATCGACCCCAAGGGCCCATGGGCGCATCAGTTCGGGGAGGTTGATGCAATCATCAACCTGGGTCAGAACGAAGCTGCCGATTCGAAGGCTTCCGTTCAAATTCGCGGCGGTGCAGCTACTCCTGTAAGTCTATACCACGTTGCAAACATGTGGATATTGCTTACCCGCGACTTGCAGACTGATGAGTCGGACTTGATACGCACTATGGAAGCCTACTTCAGGGAGGCTCATCCTGAGCGTAGGAGCAAGGGAAGGAAGGCTGTTCAGGGAGACCTCAAGTAGTCGGATAATTATTGTAGATAGCGATCATGGAGCGGTTCGCTTTGCATGTAACCCATCTGTGGTCTATACGTCATGTCGCTCATATGTGAGTAGGGAAGATGGTGTGTACTGAACATGAAATTCCTAATGGGATTGCGATACCCTGATTACCTCATACTACCTAATAGATTCGATGTCAACTGGATGCTTCAGGTGCATCTGCCGTCATTCACAGCTGAACGCTGGGAAATCATAACTGTATCAATCTACCGTTCCCCATTGACCCGACGACCCCTCAATCGCCGGCCTGTCCTGCTTCAATCTAGCATGCAACTGCGCACTCTCGTTCAGCCGTCTGGTGACCTCTTTCTGCCGTGCAACGTTCCTGTCATACAACTCCTCCTTTTCCTTCAACATCCTTCTTTCCACACCCGCCCTATGCTCAATCTCCCCCTTCCTCACATCCACCATCCTCGCCTCATGCGCCGCCGCCGCACTCGCCTTCCTCTCCTCTGCTTTCTGTCGCGTAGCTGCTGCATCGCGCTCCTGCTCCATTGTCAAGTTGTGCCATGCTGTCTTCTCGGCGCGCTTCATCCACTCCGCAGCTTGCACGCGCTGGACCTCGAAGTCGTGTTTCTGCTGCTCGAGGGATTGCCAGTGAGCTTGCGCGGCGGACTGGGCGGCCAAGTCGGCGTCCTGCGCTTCACGCTTGCGGCGCAACAAGTCGCGGTGTGTGGTCTCTTCGAGAGTGCGGGTGTGCTCATGTGAGTCCTCGGCATGTTTGAGCGCCAGGATATGTTCTTTTTGAAGATCGACGAGGCGCAGTATGGACGGCGGGATGCCGATTGCACCGGTGGGCTGATCGGCGGTCGAGGAGTAGAAGCGTGGTACGCAGCCTTTGTCGCGGAGGAGGCCAATTAGTTTGGGTTTAATCGTGGCGCGATGTAGTGTGGAGATGTGTTCGACGTAAGAGATGGGTGAGTATGTCAGACCGGATGAGTGGTACGCGTGCTTCTCATCGTTAATGGTTTCCCAGACTTCGGTTTCAAGTAATGCTTCGGTTATGTCCAGGGCACCGTGTGGATTGTCTAGAGCGAGGAGGATGCTGGACTTCTCGTTGCGAATTCTGAAGAGAGGGTCTGCTCCGTAATCAAGCAGGAGTCTGATCAAGTGTTGTACGCGCGAGCGTTGCTGTCCAGTGGCTGGTTCCGCGTGGAGACATAGCTCGCCCAAAGGAGTTCTCCCTTCATGAAGGCGAGATGGAAAGTTCGGGCTATGCCCATGCTGGATCAGAACAGACACTGCATCAACGTGCAAGCACCGTGCTGCCTCGTGTAGGCTTCCATCGTCCTTCAGTGCCGTCGGTGCCAACGCCTGGACAATCGACATAGCCGACCTACTGCTAGCGTAGAATAGTGCAGATCGTGCCCATTTGTCCCGATGTGATGGGTCGGCTCCACGCTCAAGTAGTGCCTGAATAATGTCACCCCGGCTCTCACGTGCGGCGACTGAAAGCGGTGTTATGCCCGATATGGGAGATGCACGCGTGGCGGAAGCACCGGCAGCTAGGAGTTCGCGCACAACAGAATCCGAGATCCGTTTCTGTGGTTGCAGCAAAGCCCACAAAATGGCAGAGATGGGTTCTTCGCCACTTGTTGGATCGATCACTTCGCGGATGATGATTTCAGGGCTCCACTCGTGATCAAGCAATGACCTGAGGAGTGGTGCATGGCGAGGGTAATTTTGCATCGCCATTATGAGCACTGAGATCTTGCGATCTCCAAATGGTACCAAATCTAGCCCATCAGATGTACATCCATGTTTAAAACAAAGATTGATTGAGGACATCGCTACTTGGTCTGCGATTTTGGAACTGAGTAACGCTGGAATGACAAGACTGAAGTTGGGTTGATGGAGTAATAGCTTTTCGAAGATGCTGTGGTTGGATTTCTGCGCTGCGAGTAAAAAGCAGACGCCATCCGCACTGTTGACGTTTGCATGGTGCCGCAGCAAGAGGTTAATGAGAGCCCCTATGTGCAGAGAGTCATGTGTGATGCCGAGCGTAGCTCGCAGCGCAGCGTCTACAGCCGGCGGCTCGACACCACAACTTAGTAGCATTTCAGCAATGCATACTGTGCTTTCTACATCGACTGCTGCATCCTGTAGGGTCCTCTCGAGGAAAAGCGTACGGAATGACCTCGTAACATCAGATCGTGACGGTTGGCGTTTCCCACTAAGAAGAACTTTCGTCAGCGATGTGTCTCCAAATGATACTGCACTCCCCAAGGCATCTCCACTCACAGGAGCTCCCTGCCTCAAAAGCATCGTGGTGGTGCTGAGGTCTTTAGTCCTTGCTGCGTATTGCGTTTCAGTTGTCAGAGCCTTGTCGAGAGCTTCTTGAGGGATCCCAAGCTTCAATAGGGCGTCCATAAGAGGCTTCTTCTTGGCAGGATCCTCCAGTGCGATGGTATACTCCAATGCTGATCCAAGGAGCTTCGAGTCTGCTGCGAGCAGTCGCTGAGCAATGTCAAGATTTTCTGGCCCTCCTCTGATTGCAATCTGTAGCGTCTGGAGTGCTGGACCATTTTCTACGCCATGCGCGAGAAGGATGTCCAACAGCAGCAGTGTCTTCGGATGTCGTCGACCGTGAGGACCAAAGACTAACGGCAACGCTGGCGAGGTCGAAGCAGAAGTCGGGGCGTTACTGCAGAGCAGATGGAGTATTGACTCGTCGGCTTGTGTGACTGCAAGAGAGATGGTCTGAGCATCTACTGGCGCTCCTGAGCTCAAAAGGAGCTCCATCAGAGTCACATCACGTTCCTTGACAGCGAGGCTCAACCACCGACCAAGTGAAACACCACCGGCGCCTTTTCCGAGTAAGCCCTGAAGAACGCGCAGCCTTTCCGGCCGGGGGGTGCTGAGTTGCAGTACGTCCAACGCTGCTGATGCGTGTTGTCCCTTGATTGGAGTATCGAGAATGGCATCGACCAAAATCCAATTCTCGTTCTCGATGGCAAGGCGCAGGCACTCGGCTTCTTTTGCTGTTGTTGGGACACCATGGTTGATCATCATCTTCGATCCAGGAGTGTCATCCTTTCGCACACGACAAATGAGAAGATCGGGTAGACCAATACTAGCTGGAGGCAAGCCGCAACAGAACAGCAACTGCAGGAATTGCAATGTTGCTACGCATGTCCGTAAGCGCATCACGGTGTCGAGCAGTCTTTGAAGGTTGTGGGGTGCAATAGCTGTCGGTCCAGACACCAACGTGAGCGTCATTCTCCAGTCTTCCTTGCCGATAGCCGAATTAAGAGCACTGGCTGAGTCAAAATTGGGGTCAGCGCCGTAGCGGATGAGGAGTGAGGCTATAGCTTCGGAATTCTGTCGTACTGCCGCAGAGAGACATGATGACATGACTTCGGGACGGAGCGCTTTGGGCGCCCTCAGCAGCAGCTGAACATAGTCCGGGTCGTTAGACTGTACGGCGGTACCTAGTGCATTGGGGAACCTGTTAAGATCTGCTCCGTGTCGTAACAACTCTTCGATGCATGCCTGGTCCTTTGTTGCCAGGGCAGCCTTGAGTCCTTCGTCCAGCGTGGTCTGATCTGCCCCAGAACAGGCCAGTATATTGACGGAGTCTGCTTTGCGGAGGGTAGCAGCCTGTTGTAGGACTGTGCTTCGACGGCGGAGGCCAGAGTTGGGCGCGTTGTTCTTGGACTTCTTCTTATCAGAAGTGTCGACAAAGTTGACTTTAGCACCCAACGACAAGAAGGCGTGTACAAGTCCAGGGCTGGATTCGGAGTTGCGGATTACGGCGGACAAAGCCTGATCCAGCTCATCTTGGGAGAACTCCCATTGTGTCGTGTCCAGCGCCTTTTCCTTCTCTTTAGAGCTCTTGAAGATGCGCTTAAGCACCGCGTCTCTACTCTCCGGATTCTTTTGCCGCCTTCTGATCAGAATATGTCGAGCTTGTGTGCGATCCTCCTCGCTCGAGGAATTACCAGGTTGTGACGGTGCGGGTAGGCATGGCTGTCGGGTAGCGACCGGGGTGATGCCCGCGTGGCTGATGAGCTCGCCCAGACTGACTTTCCTCTTAGCTTGAGCCATGATGGTGATGTGTGAATATGTCGAGGAATTGGAGGCGCAACGACGTGTTTAGACCCCAAGGCTCTTGCCGTGGCGTATTGCGCGGACCGGTGCGGAGGGTGCGGCCAACGCACTAGCCGATGCCGACCCTCCTAGGTACCAGTTTGCCAACCAGAAAACGTCACCCTTCTGTCCGTCGTAAGGCGCAAAGCTCCGAGTGCTGCGTGAGCATACAGTATCCTCTATTACTGCCACGCTGGATCGCAATCGTCATCTCGAGGCAGAGCCGCCTACCTTCACACGTCAAGTCAACCACACAGCAACTCCGGCATCTCGAAAATCTCTCATCGACCCTGATCGGCCACCAATACCGTTGCACTGGGGAAGTCGGCTAGAACAGTCTGGAGATGCGGGTTAGTGTCATTAGTGCCTTGATTGACGCAAAATCAGCCAACCAGCCTAATCTAGAAACATCCGTTCATCGCGGCGGTGAACACGGCCTTACCCCGCGGACGAAGAGCGGAATATGGTGACGGCCGAAGACGCAAGCGAGTTTGCGACTTCTTCAAGACGAAGTAGGTATTTCACCGCACCCTACGCGCCCGCTGCCGCTACAGACTCAATCCTTACTCGGCTGTGTCGGAACGGTCGTCAGTCGATGCTCGTATTCCCAGGCCGTTCGGTCCTGCCCGAGACCCCCCGTTTCAGAAAGTCTGCAGGTACCGTTTCAATTGAGTCTTCGAGACCTCCACAGAAGATCTGGAGATGACATTCAATGTTCTTTCCGATCACATTAGCTAGGCGCTCACAAAGAGGGTAACGAAGTGTTCAATAGAATGAAACCTCCACAGCACCTGGCGCCAGATGATGTGCGCTCAATTGCGGTTGGAGTATACAAGCTCGAGACGAGCTGTAGGTACACACCTTTACCAGCTAATAACGGCAGGTGCGTTGATGCAATGTTCCGGTTCGATTGCCTTCGCTCTGCGGCAAGCGAGCGCCTGAGCACACCCTGTCAACAGCTGCCAGGTCCACCATGGTCCATGAGCTCCATCCAGAAGGTGGGAACGTTTCGAGAAGTCAATCCCATCTTGCCTACCGGAAACTCTCCCAGTAGCTTCAAAAGGCAGTGCTCGTTATCAAAGAACCATGAACCAAGTCATACTGCTCGCAGTGAAACGATAGCAACATGCAGGAGAGTTTCGTTCTTCATCTGGAGTCCAAACCCTTGATATGACCAGGGTGGCAGCTGGGCCGCAACCTGTACCACCGAAAATGTCGTAACACAGTGGATACTTATAAATTGACTCGGTAACCGGCATTGGAGTACCCAGCAAGCACGCGCCTGCAATCAGACATCCTTTCCTCGTTTTCATTCTTGTAGGCTCTGGTAGCCCGGTTCGCATTTGTTGTACACTTATCACTCGTTCATCTTCTGACAGCTCGATACCCGTTTCCATTTATACACAAATGCTGTATACAAGCATCTTCGCGGCCTGCGCTTTGCCGCTCGCCGTTGCAGCACCTCTCTGCACCCGCGAAAACAACACCACTTGTGGGACTGCACTCTGCAATCTCAGCAATGTCTCTCAGCCTACCAACGCTCTAACACCACCTTCTGCGGATCTGCGCCTCGTTCTCATCGCTCATGGAGAGGGGACGCAAAACTACACCTGCGCAACACCGGAGTCCGCCCCATCATCAATTGGCGCCAAAGCCGAGCTATACAACGCCTCTTGTGAAGTCGCCAACCCCACTGAAGCGCAGAACAGCATTATCAGGGCACAGGCCATTGGCAACCACTTCTTTGCGGATCTCACGACCCCAGAATTCGACATCCCTCGCCTGGGTAACACCAAGTCGAAGAAGGTCGAGGAAGTTGATGCACCAAACCCCAGCGCCGACATCAAGTGGCTCAGGCTGCAGGCACAGACCGATGGCTCTACTAGCGACGTCAAGTTCATCTACCGGCTGAACACCGTCGGTGGACATGCACCCACCAACTGCGAGGGTAGAGCGGAAGGCGAGGTTGTTACGGTGCAATATCAGGCACAGTACTGGATGTATGCGTAAGCGTGATGAACCTGACGGTTTTAAGCGGTGCTGGAAAGGGTGTCCACGATTTCTCATTTCAGTCAATGTTGTATATTTTCGGAGGTGTAGCTTCGAGTTCAGGTTTGGTGGTGTGAAGTAGGAAGTCAGTCATAATTGGAGACATTTGAGTAAGGATTTGCACACATAGCGCCCTCCATTTGCTGGCAAACTTGCTTGCGTTGTCGGGGTCTTTCGCACGACAACGGCCGAACTCAACTAGTCTAAAAGAAGGAAAGCGTTCCCAGAACTCTTGCCTCGGCCCAGCCATCACTTCCGAGCATCATTACACGCGCTTATACCTATAGACACGCCTTCATTTCATCGCCGTACAAAACACGTAACGCGCTCTGGACCGCAAAGAAACTGCATGCAGTCATGTCGAAACCATCAATACCCGCCTGGCAACGAACAGCCACCACCGATCCGCCTTCGTCATCTGCAGACAAGGAGCTGAAGCCGGAGAACGCAGCGGAAGATAGCACAAAACCAGTTGCAGAAGAGCCTGCGCGGTCAGAAGAGCCTGCGCGGTCAGAAGCAGCAACGAACGATACAAAGAGCGCAGATCTACTCGATCAAGCGAGTCGTTTTCTTGAGGACCCAAACATTCGCAATGCGCCACGCGAGAAGAAGGCAGTCTTCCTGGGGGCGAAAGGCGTGTCTTCAGAAGACATTGAGACATTGCTAGGGAAAGCAGTCCAACAGAATGCATCCCCTGATCTAGAAGAAGCTGGAGCTCGAGCCTGGTCGACAGTAAGGACTCCTCTGAACGCGCGCTTCACCTTCAGGAGATGCAAAATTGACAATTCCTAGACATCTCCCCAACTAGTACAAGCATCTCCTGCACCGCCACCCCAACCTCGAGAACTACCGCCTATTGTCACATACCCAGAGTTCTTGGCGCAGACAGAAAAGCCACCACCGTTGATAACTACCAGTCGCCTAGTAAACACAGCCTACGTTGCAGGCGGACTAATGGCAACAATGTATGGATTATCCAAGTACATCATTGCGCCCATGGCAGAGAATCTAATCGAAGCACGTCACGACTTTGCGGCGCATACGCAAGAGCAACTGGCAGAGCTGAACAAGAAGCTTAGTGAATCTGTCTCGGTAGATCCAGCCAGCAAGGTCAAGAAAACTACCTCGGAGGTCGGTGACGATGTGTCAGAAGCCGACTCAGATCCTACTGAACTATATCATCGCGACTACGGGACACAAACCACGCCCAATCTTTCAAGACGACCCTCGCTTGTCGACACAGACGCCTATCCTACAGTAACAGCACACGAGAAACGGCTGAAGATCATCTCTTCACATCTGAACGAAATCGTTGCGAACCGAACAAACGGCCGCGTCTCCCACGACTCCCTGCAGACCAAGGTGTCAGATCTGACAACCTACCTCAACGACATGAGCTATCAGGGCCAATACTACAACAGCATGGGTGGACTGTACGGGAGCAGCTATGGTCTGCCCTCGGGCAAGGATGGGAAGAAAGACCAGATTGAGATCTTGAAGCAGGATATCAGAGCCGTCAAGGGTGTGTTCCTTAGCGCAAGGAACTTCCCTACAGGTGGAGCAAGACTACCTGGAACTCGGACACCTCCCTCGGCGATGCCGGGCACAGGGAGACGTACACCACCAAGGGTTGCATAGACACTGTAGCAATCGAACGATGCGAACAAAATTGACTACCGGCATTTCAATCAGGCTGCTCAATCCGCGCTAGTGGCAGCTGACGGTAAGTGGGGTCTGGCTTCTACCAGCGTCAGGCTACCATAACACGTCCACCCTTCACAATCACGCCCATAGTACTCAAGATGTCAGAACAAGCACCCGAAGCAACGACCTACAATCCTCCCTCCCGTGCCCCCATAACAACCCCCTCAGTAATCCTCTACGGCAGCATTACCCCCACTACACCCTGGCAATCAGCCCTCACAGCCGCCCTCTCCGATCTGCCCATTACAATCATCAATCCGGTCTGCACCGCCTGGGACAGTACATGGGTGGAAGACACCTCGGACCCGCGGTTCGTCGCGCAGGTCGAGTGGGAACTCGATCAAGGAGAAATTGCGGATGTGATTGTGATTTACTTCGTGCCGGATACGCAGGCGCCGATTAGTTTGCTGGAACTGGGGATGTATGCGAGTCTGTATAGAAATCAGGGGAAGATGGTGGTTTGCTGTCCTCAGGGGTTTTGGAAGAGGGGGAATGTCAGGGTTGTTTGTGCGAGGTTTGGGGTGCCGGTGGTGGAGAGCGTGGAGGAGGTGGAGGGGTTTGTCAGACAGAAGCTAATAGAGAAACTCAAAGCTTAATTGTTTCAGAACCTTCGTAACCGCATGCCATCTGTTCCGCGACATCGTCACCCCAGCGACTCTATCTCTCGTTTGGGTGCGGCAAGGCTGAGATTCAGCCTGATCTGGCGCCCCAGCCCTGGAGGTAAGCTGACTGACCTACCGCACCTTCAACCTACTTCAGCTTTGATTCACTCAACATCTTTCAATTTCATGCCGCCTAGCACTCAGCGTGCGCTCATCCGGCCCTGGACACCTCACACGATCGTTAACGGTTACGGGTCGCCGATATCGTATAGCCTTGGTGGGGAAAACGGCTCCTGCCACTGGGGGTGCGGTTAGCTGTCACTGTAAGAGACGGAACAAGCTAGAATGATGGAACATGTCGGGCTACCTACGCAGACGATAACTAGCTGGGAAGAGCTTATCAAGAGGCTTATAGAGCCGGCGCGCTTCCCCAGGTTTTCCGAGCTTACGGCGACTGGTGACTGGAGACCATGGAGTACTGAGCCCGAACCATCGTCAACCGGTACTACGACTGTCGAGCAACCGAAAAGAGTGTCAACATACCTCCAAGACTCGCTTCTGAATGACCAACAGGATTGTTGTCCACTTCAGTATGGAACTCTGCCAGAAGACCACATACGACTACTTGACCTCCGTGATGCCAAGATCAACGGGGATGTCTTGACCGGATTCAAACTCAAGACCGTACCACTGTCAGATGCACCCGATTACGAAGCTATATCCTACTGTCGGGGTAGCACAGGTCTATTTACTGGTGTTTTCATCTCCAGCGAAACCAGTGGCGAGTAAGTGCATAGAGTCACTGAAGACGTAGCGACTTGCTTGCACAGCTTGATCGCCTCCAAACGACCAGAGCATGAAAAATTGACTATATCTGTATCGATCAGATATGATCTGGCCGAACGTAGCGCACAAGTCAGACGTATGGCTGATATCTACAAGACTGCCGCAGGGGTGATTGTGTAGCTCGGGCAAGAATCACATTTTGAGCTTGAGAACGTCACCATTGAACTGAAGCACGATCCCCACGTGCAGTGGCGTGGCGCAAGCATCCTGGATTGGGTGCAACGATGGGCAGTCTTTGCTAGACCCTGGTTCTGGCGACAATAGATCTTCCAAGAGGCGGTCTTTGCACAGCATATCACGATCTTGCAAGGCAACGCTTTCACGTCTTGGAAAGCTTTGCTTGAACTGAGCGACTCAGCGATAGCTTTCCCAGGACGTGACTTTCTTGTGGAATGCATCACATACACCATCATAAACCATGTTTTGCCGCGCGGGATCAGCGCAGCGAAGAGACTCATGGCCTATCAGGAATACTTGGACCTTCCTACCATTATGCTTCAGCTGGGTAAACAAAAATGCAAATATCCTAGAGACAAGATATTCACTCTTGTGGGCTTTGCGGATAATCTCCTGCCAGTCGACTTCGTGGGTTATGAGCTATCGATTGATGATATCTCGCAAAGATGCACCAGATGCATGATAGAGGCAGCCGGGGATCTCAGCGTCATCACGTAAATGAACACATTTGTGCCAGGACGGCGACCAAGCTGGGTGCCACAATGGCACAAACACCTCTTCACCTGGGCGGAATATCCTGACACATCGCCATCCGCGCCAAATGATCGTCGGTGGAGCCGTCCAACTAGGATAGTTGAAGACCGACTGGTTGTTCAGGGCAGACTCGTTGATGTTGTTGGCATTGAGCTCAAGACCTTTCATGATAGCATGGGTGCGTACTTTGACCGGAGGGACGATTTGGCATTGGCAAATCTTCTACAGTGCTCATACCGAGAGGCTCAAACCCGCTCCAAGAACAAATCCAGGTCAGAAGAATATGAATTTTCAACAAACACTGAAAACGGGGTCCCTCCTGAGTACTCCACTCGAGAACTATCAGAGGTGCTCAATCGTGCATTCCTTCGGGCAATATTCTGCGATGATAATATAATAGAGTGTCGATTTCTGATGGCGAGGACTTCTTCAAAGCATTGTACCACCAGCATGGATCTTCGCAACAGAGCAGTGAAGCCAGACTTGCAAAGTCTCTTAATGTCGGTCAACACCTGAACGGTCATATTCTACTACTCGAGAGCAGTCAACTTGGCTATATCAATGCCCCTGATCAGCGCACAGAAGCAAGAGACCGCGTCGCGATTCTTCACGGTCTGAAATTATCTTGTCTGCTTCGAAAATCTGAAGACGGTGAAGGCTGGCTATTTATTACAACCATCTATGTCGATGGCATGATGCATGGAGAGGATAAACTCAGAAACTCACACCGTCTTGAATCTCACTGACCCCGGATCAGCTGTTGACTGGGACAATGACGAAGCCGAAACCTTCATCCTCGTGTAAGTGTGACACTTTTTCCGGGAGACCACGATATCGTATGGAACAGGTCAATTTCCGTGACTTCTGCTGTACATGATTTGCCGTAGAGTTCGTCAATACAAACAGCAGGCCGTGTAACAATGGCACCGCTCCGTTCATCGACTATTATTGCATTGAAGACTCAATCTACCAAAGAAATGCAAAAGCAGATCAGCGTATAACGATCTCCTCGAAATTACCTTTGTACTCCCCATCTATCAACCCCAACACGAACGCCTCACCAACCAGCAGAAAATCCTCCCTGTCAGTATAAGACCGAAAAAGGAAGGGCAAGTTCGCTCCATATAATTTGCAGAATTGGTCTACGAGCTTAGTGCATGGTGGGCCGGCGCCCATGTAGCCATTCTATTCGTGGCAGTAAAGAACCTGCGACCCAACGACTCGGCGTTGGTGAAACCGAAAAGGGCGAGTACAGCGGGCAATACAAAGCTACAAGCGCAACGAACTACAAAGACACAATTGTTATGACAGGCTCGATACATTTACACAACGATCAAAGCGTATAAGGCTCCTGTTTCCACGTAACTCTCCTCTCATCCCTCATCCTATCGAACCGCACAACACTCTCCAGCAACACCTGCGCACCAATCGCACAATCCACCTCCTCACAAAACTCCCTCGGATTATGGCTCACACCCTCCCTACACGGGACAAAAATCATACTCGTCGGGCACCGCTTACTCGCATACACACTATCATGCCCGGCACCGCTCGTCATCTCCAAAACCAAGTTGTGACTATCAGGGCCCAGAACAGAGTACGCGGACTTCCGCACCGCGTCGATGCAGTCAGAATGGAACGTTGTGGCCGGCGAGTCGAAGTCCTCTGTGATCGTAACGGAGAGCGGGAGGCCGCGTGTGCACCCATAGTTGATACCGTCTACATCTTCGCCTGCCACAATTCGGGGGAAGTCGCGCTCGAGGAGGGCTTTTAGTTCAGCGACAGTCGCGTCTTTCTTGGCCCGGATGTCGAGGCTGAAGGTTACGGAGCCGGGGACTGTGTTGGTAGAGCCGGGCTTCAGGTTGAGGATGCCGGTTGAGGCAAGGGCGCTGTGGGTGGTGGCGAGTTTGTGCGAGTGGAGGATCATTTTCGAGGCGGCGAGGAGGGCGTCTGCGCGCGACTTCAGGTCGGTGGTGCCGGTGTGGGTGTCGCGGCCTTTGACGTGGACGGTGAGCCACTTGTAGGCTTGTACGCCTGTCACAACACCAATCTTCTTGTTGGCCATTTCGAGGAGCGGGCCTTGCTCGATGTGAAGCTCAAAGTGTGCGGCCATGGGCATGGCCTCATAGCTTGCTGGTGTCGTTCCAAGGTAGCCAATACGCTCAAGCTCGGATTTCTGGGTCGCGGTCCCTGGGTGTACTTCGCGAAGGTTGTGTGCCTTCTCGAGAGGTATGGAGCCAGCCCACACACCAGAGGACACCATAGACATTGGGAAGCGCGCACCTTCTTCGTTCGTCCAGTTCACCACACCGACAGGATACTCAGTCTCGACCCAGTTATCAGTCAGAACCTTCAGCATCTCTACACCAGCCGTAACACCAAGGATACCGTCATACCGACCACCTGTCGGCTGCGTGTCCAAGTGGCTTCCAACATATGTGGGTGGCTTATCATTCTTCAAACCTGGTCGGACTGCGAAGATGTTACCCATCTCATCGACTGTAGTCTTGCAGCCCAAAGCCTGCGTCGTCTCCACGAACCAATCTCTTGCTTGCTTATCACTATCTGACAGGGCAAGACGAGACATTCCAGTTTCCGTAGGCGCCCTGTAAACATCAATATCTTCAAGTCGTGACGCTCGGGCATAACTGACTCGCCCCATCGTTCACCCGTTCCCCATTTGCAAGTGTGGTGAATGTCTTCCATCAAACGTTGCTGGTTTACTTTCAGATCCTTGAAGTGCTGTTCAGTCATCTCCTTGGTGTGTATCTGCCATCTCGGCGACGTCGAGAAGGTAGCTCTGAAAGTGGTGCTACCTTTCAATAATGCGGGGTATTGTCTGCTCGCGATTCGAAGCGCAGGCTGTCTAATCGCAGACAAAGCCATTGCGAAAGTCTTGAAAAGTGTGAAGAAAGAGACATGGCTGGAGCGTCAATAAGAAACATGGAATCGCGAAGGATGATAGGCGTGTAGTCGTATGACATACGCCTAGTTGTGGGGTCGCGGGCTGCAGTTGCCGATAAGAATGCGGGAGGGGCTGGTTCTGATAGGGTTAGCCGTCGGCGACATGCCCGCTACCCTGTCCGTCGGTTCAAGATTATCAATCGGCACAGCACAATCCTTGCATGATGTTTATGGAGTTCGTGTGGATTGTGGAGATGACAATACTTATTGTTCGTCGTGCTCACCAAACACCAGTGTACAAGCCGGGTATCGAATGAATCGCTGAAAGAACGCCTGAACCGAGTGCTGTAATAACTCCTGTTGCACCGCTGCTCTTTCCAAACGGAAGGTTCGTGCAATTACGCTGCTTTTCCCTTCCCTTTGCCCTCGAATTTTGCCTGCTTGGCATCTTCTTCGGAGACCTCCTCCTCTTCGTCGCTGTCGCTCATGAACTCGTCGTCCTCGTCATCCCAGCCGAACATGGGGCGCTGCTGCGCAGGCTTCGATGATGAAGCAGCGGGCCTAGTCTCGTCCTCGTCTTCTTCCGAGCTTTCCATCTCCATCTGCGCCAAAAGCATCTTCTCGATGGCTTCCTTTGTCCTGTTCTCAGCCTCTTCCTTGTCTTCAAGCCACTTGCCGTCTAAGCGTGCCTTACCGCCTGCGTTCTGTAGCTCTTCCTGCTTTCGCTCTGTGCTGGCTACAATATCTTCCCACCTCTTCCTGCGCTCATCCTTTTCACGCTGCTCCATTTCAGGCTTGATCGCAAGGTATTCGGCAAGATTCTTTGCCTCAGCGACAGTGCGCAGTCGTCGACCATCTAGGTTTCGTGAAGAGGCGTTTGCGTCCTGCTGGTTCTTCTTCTTGCGCGACGACATGCGGCCGCCCTGAGCGCGCAGTATCGATCCAAAACCGCCCTTGCCACCACACAGCGGCACAGTCAGGCGCAGCGAGAGGAAGGTGTCTGACGGCGAGGAGAGGAGGCTGGAGACAGGCTCTTCAGCATGGCGGACCGCTCGACGGGAGTTTGTGGTGAGGATGTAGGAAGAGTTCTGAATCCATGGCGCACGTTCGTACAGTGTGTCATATAGCGATGTGAGGGAGGCGTCCTTTGGTGTGGTGAAGGCGATATTCTGGCCCTTTATGCTGTTGACAATCACCGTCACCGGGGACTGCGAGATGTGCTCCATGTTGGAAGTTGAAGAACCGTAGTTGAGGTCTCGCAGTTGTGAGAATTGAGCTACAAGCGAGTGTGCAGGCGCTTTTCACAATTTTGGGGTATGGTGAGTATTGTTCTGATGTCGGCGTCGAGGCAGCAGCGAGGATTGGCGTTCGCGAACGGCGTGGCCCGAGCGTCTGCCTCCACTCTCCGCCAAGCCGCGAGGCACTGGATGCTCACCGCGCTATTTCAGGAGTGGGGCGAGCAGACGCGCATGATTGGTGTAGCAGATCGTAAGCGAGACCCGTCCACAAACCTCTCCTCCGCGCATGCCATTTCTTTCCGTACTTCTTCATCCGCCCTCGACTAACCGCAGCATCCCACGAGACTCTTCGTAACCGTCAAGATGCTTATCCCCAAGGCCGATCGCAAAGCCATTCACGAGTTAGTCACCCTTACTGCCGTCAATGCGACGCCGCGCTCGAGCTCGCAAGTTTCGCACGAAGTTACGACTTGATCACGAATAGCACTCGGTCCCCCATATCTGCTTGAAGAACTACTGCTAACAATGCACTCTCAGGTACCTCTTCCGAGGTTAGTATTCTCCCACGCGCGAGCCATGGCTATGGCACACTCGTACATTTTCGCAGCTCTGCTGCATACAAGGATAGGCTGACACACGGTCACCACAGAGGGCGTTCTCGTTGCCAAGAAGGACTTCAACCTTCCCAAGCACGGCGACATTGACACCAAGAACCTTTTCGTCATCAAGGCTTGTTAGTGCCCCCAGCGACGTGCTGCGTGACATGGTCTAATCCAGTGCAGGCCAGTCTCTGACCTCCCGCGGCTACGTCAAGACCCGCTTCTCGTGGCAGTACTACTACTACACCCTCACACCCGAGGGTCTCGACTACCTCCGCGAGTGGCTCCACCTGCCCGCTGAGATCGTCCCCCAGACCCACATCAAGCAGCAGCGCTCTGCTCCTCCCCGGGGCATGCTCGGCGGTGACGGCGAGCGCCGTGGCGGCCGTGGCGGTCCCCGCGGCGAGCGTGGCGACCGCGAGGGTGGCTACCGCCGCCGCGATGCTGGCGAGAAGCCTGAGGGCGCTGCCCCTGGCGAGTTCAAGCCTGAGTTCCGCGGTGGCTTCGGGCGGGGCCGTGGCGCCCCTGCTTCCTAAGCGATTGACCTTCGCTTAAGGAGTATTGGCTAGATACAGGATCATCTTTTGCTGCATTACAAAAAGGGACAGGACCTGGTGGCATACGGCGAAATGAAAGGATGATACCACGAATGTATTCCTCGTACGACGTGCGGCTTCGCACTCGACGACCACTTTCACAATGATACCCAATTCGTTCAGTGCTGTCTACTACCCACTGTGACAATGTATGTGTTGGTTCGTCTACCATGGCAGGTTTTATGTTGCCGTTATTCTCCTAGACTTTCTTCTCGCTTCGCACTGCACTGCAAGTTGTCACAAACGTATCTAATGCCCACCCTTCCCTGGCATCATCAACCCACTTCCCCTCGCAACCCACTGGTTCCTTACCTGCTCCACACCAACCTGCCCACCCATCTCCCTGACGACCGCATCCCTAGCCGCCTGCAGCCTCTCTTCCATACTCCTCTCGTCATCCTGACTAACAAATCGCCTCCCTACAACCGCAATGTTCCTCGTACTCGGGATCCTCAAATGCTCTCTTTCAACCACATACCCCATAGCCTCCGTCAACGCACTCGTCCACGAGCACAGACTCGCATACGCGCTCGGCTGCGCATTTTTGTTCCCCTTCGGCTGCCCGTCGTCAGGGACATACTTCTTGACCGGCGGGGCGCGGAACCGCGTGCCGCCGAAGTCGTGGCTGCAGCACGGGATGGCGATAAACGGCGAGCGCGAAAGGGAGGCGAGGAGCGGCGTCCAGGGCGTGAGTTCGTCGGCGTGGTTGGACACGATGAACGTGCCTGCGGGGAAGACACCGTCGTGGCTCGCAGGCACAGGGACGTTTTGCTCTTGCCCTTGCTCTGTCTCTGTCTCTGCCTCTGCCTCTGCCTCTGCCCCTGCAGTCGACGTGTTGAGGACGGCGGGGATGAGGAGCATTTCCTCCAGCTTTTCTTGATGCGCGGCAGGGAACGTGTTCCACGTCTTCCGCCGCCGCGCGTCGAAACCCCAGCCAGCCCAGCCTTCTTCGTTCAAGATGTGCACCAGGAGTCCGTTCCCGCACCCGATGTCGACGAAGCCAGGAAATGCCTCCTGCGCTGACGTTTTCCTCTCTTCGCCCTCGCCTGATCCGTACATGCTGACCCAGAGCTCTATGAGAAACGCACTGATGCCCAGATCCTCGAAGACGTGCTTCCCGGGCGGCGTCTGCTCCACCCACCTCTCGATCAGTTTCTTCGCGTACTTGCCCTTCAGATATGCGTACGTGTCCTGGAACGGTTTCTGCGGGATGATGACGTCGTGTTGCACGCGTTTCTTGTAGCCTGCCGCCCGGCCACGCGCGTGCTTGTGGATGACTTCGAGCAGCTTGAGCGCGGTGCGCGAGAGTCTGTTGTCGAGAGGATGCGAGGGGAAGAGGGAAAAGGATATGCTAAGGTGACCGCGGGATGTGAGCAAGGCAGGTGTGGCGGAGAAGTATGTGTAGAGGATGCCCAAGCGCTGGGCGATCGGGTGGTAGTAGGGAATCTCTTCTGGAGAGGCGACGTGCGGGATGTAGATGACTAGGTAGCGTTCTGCTTGGGTTGGTTCTTCTTTACCGCTGATGCGAATCGTCACGGGGGCTGTTGACGTGTAGAGGTGACAGGTCTGGATCATCATGTTGTCGAGCTTGGGGTTGCGCGGGATCAGCTTTCGAACTACGGTCCATGTCAGATCATAGCCTTCGATCCCGCCTTCAACCAGTCGTGGGTGGTTCTCTACTCGTAGATGCTTGATGATGTCTGCCAGTTCCAGAGGCGTTGTGGCTTGCGGGTTGTAAGACGCATCGTTGAAGCTGGTGTACGATAGCTCTGCGCGAGCCAAGTGTGAGGCCGTCAAGTTTGGGTTCTCAAGTAGGTTGCGGCTGACGTCCAAGAAGTACTGTGGTGTGAAGTTGGCGGGCGCAGATTGCACGAGCTCCCAGAGTTCAGGTGGCAGGCCGGAAGAGAGTGTTGGTGCTGATGACGGGTCGTAAGGTTCGAACTTTTCAGGAAGCGGCTGGGCATTTGGCTTTTTCTCAAGTATAGCATTCTGCTCTCGAGTCCCTTGTTCCACATGCTCTTTGTCCGGGCTCAAGCTGGACTTTGCTTTCTCCGCCCCATTTTGGGCCATCTGTAGCTATCTCTTTCTTGGGCGTGAGTCACGGGTCCCTTGCTGCCTGTTGCATGCGACACTCGTCAGTTGCAGCACTCTGTGCGCTTCTAGGGCCTGCAGGAGATGTTTCGGATTTTGTGAAAAGGCTGATGTGTGTTCGTGGTGTAGTTCAAGTTCCGGTGTTCATCCTTGTAAGAATGAGAAAGTCGACTAGTTTCTCGCTTGCGCAATGCTCGAAGGAGAGGTGGTGACGAAGAGGAACAACACTCCGTGACGACGAAACGATGAGGGAGAGATGCAGGGCTGGTACTTCAATGCTTCCAATTGGGTCGCTACAAGCATTGACCGATTCAAAATGTCCACGTGCATACTTTCATACACCGTCTATCTAGCATCTAGTTCCCTCCACTCTCAAGGGCAGCCGCCTCCCGAGATATGTAAACGCCTCAAATGCAAGTCTCCATCCAAGTCCCACACTCTCAACCCTATCGTCCATAGTAATGCGCCATCTCCAGCCCGGCCCTCTTGAACCCACACTTGACATAGAACCCCTCGTTGGTCTCCGAGCAGTCCAAAATGGACTTGTAGCAGCCGACCTTCTCGGCCACGAAGTCTAGCGCCTGAATTATGCGCAGCCCGAGCTTCTTGCCCTGCTGGTCCTTGGCGACGGCGATGTCCTCAATGTGGCCGACGACGCCGAGGTTGTGGATGAACTTGCGCTCGACGATGAGCGCGCCGGTGCCGACGATGCGCAAGCTGGTGTCGAGGATGGCGAGGAGGTAGTATGAGTCGCTGCGGTTCGACATCCAGGTGTAGCGCTCGTTCCAGGCCTGCGTGACTCGCACGTTAGCTGTGGCTCTGTGTCGTTCTCGGAATCTACAGGTAATGTCTGCAACTTGCCTCTTCAGTGACATCGCCAACCGTAGTAAGCACCCTCAGCACATCTAGGAAGCCGTTGTGATAGTCCTGGCGCTGGATCGGGCGGCATGTGTAGCCTTCCGGCAGCGCCTTGAGCACCTCGGGGGAGATGAGTTCCGGGCTGAAGAGGGGCGCTGTCGCGTCGCTGGACGGGGCTTCGAGGGCCATTGTGATTTGTTTAAGGCGTGCTGTGGCTGCCAGAGTGAGGAAGGCGAGGTAGATTGGGTTGTCTGGGTGCAATTGGACTTGACGTGCTGTTTGGGAGGGGTGTTTGCGAGGAGTGCACTATCGATAAGAAGAGCGGTGAGGTGGAGAGCGCGCCGTTGAGTGTGGACGGTAGATTGAAGGAGTCGGTTGGGGTTCAAAAGCTCGAGGAAAGGGGCTATTGTACTTCGTATCGAGAACCTTTTCTACAGTTACGACCAACGCAACATACACACCCCAGTCATGAACGTGATCCAAAAATAGATCCTGAGCCGGAGAGTCCTCTCCCACCAACGTCATACAGGAACACGCTACCATGCGCGTGAACATCGACATTACGATTCAAATATATAGATCCACACTCATACACGGCCGTTGACGGTCACAACAAACCCATATCCCCTGACCAGTACTATCACCACCCACTCGGCGTCCTACTCTGTCTGCACCTCCTGAACGTCCTCAAGACAAACTCGGGCTCCAAATCCCCATCCTCCAGTTCCAGTCCGACAACCTTGGCCAGCGCCGCTGTCAGCGCGGAATTCTGTCTCTGAAGCAGCATAACGCGGTCCTGTAACCGCATCATCTTCTCCACGCTGCCCTCCTCTAGGACCTCGATCTCGACCGCGGAATCGCCGACCATCTCCTGATGCTCAGCGAGATGATGCTCTTCGCTGCTGAGACAAGGCTCAGGCGTGTGTCGCGGCGTGGGCAGCGCTCCGGGGCCCGTGTCGGAGTTGCGGTGCTGTTGGGTTGAGCCCGAGACGGAGATTGTGCTGGGGACTTCCTTCCTGTGTATTCTCTTCAGATCGCGCAATTTACGGGCTTTGGTCTGCTCTTCTCTCGTCACAGGGTGTTCCGCAAGCGGGTGCTGGTGCCCAAGGATGGGGATGGGTCTGGGGCTGATGGGTGGGCTTTTCTCTTTGCGCATCGCGGAGGAGGCCATGTCCATGATGTTTGGAGCGGAAAAGGAGCGGCTGGCGCGGTCGTAGGAGCTGAAGCCTTGGATGGCGCGCTCAACCGCGGGGGATGCGAGACGGGGGACAAGCATGTCTTCGGTGAAGCTGAGTGAGATGTGGCGCGAACGGTGCTTTTGCTTCTGTTGTCCCGGAACGGCAATGGGAAGGGCGAAGTTGTCTGTGCCCGACAAACGTGGAATGACGATCTTGAGATGCTTCGCTCCAGCCTTTGTGGTCACTTCTCGAGTGCAGGTAGGTACTTGGGGCTTCTGGTGTGCACGTTGGGGCGAGCCTTCCACCGATCCAACACGTGCGGCGAGGCTCTTGCGATTGACCTTGAAGATCTTGGATCCGCCTCTCGTACGCTGGCGACCTGGAGGCTTACTCTCCGAAGTAGGACCTGTGTGCTTGAGATAGTAGCTGAGATCGTTCAGGCCCAGGTCGCTGTTGGCAGTAAGTGCACTATGGCTGAGGATCGGTGGTGCCATCCGTCCCAGGCACGACGAGCCAGCTTGCGCTGCTTGTCCCACTCTGGCGTACTGGTTTCGATGCTTAGGCATATGGATCTCCGATTCTCTCTGGTCGTACTCGGTGAATTGACCTTCAGCCGCACGCGCAAAGTCACTGTCCACCGACGTGATAGACTCCTTACGAAAAGGCAACCGGGGGCTGGTTAGGCGTTTTGGGCTGCGCTCTGGCACAGTTGGCGGTACATCGGTGACCAGATTCAAGTCCTCGATAGGGAAGATGACGACTGGCTCCGTGGAGCGCAAGTTCGGGTCTGGCGAATTCGGCAGTGGCACTTTTGGCGGACTCGGTGTGTGACGGTGGCGCACCCTCCTCAAACTCGAATCTCGGCTGTCGGCCTGGCTGTCGAAGTATTTCTGGATTACACCAAGCGGGGCCACCTCCTCGAGCTTCTCAAGGTCCTCCTGGGTGGGCATGTTGCTGCTCGTATCGCTCCTTGATGCATTACGTTCGTGCTTGGCTACCCACGGCTCCAGCGAAGAATATGGAGCGCTTTGGTCCGCCGTAGGTCCGGCCACCTTATACGGCGTCTGCCGTCGCGACTGCTTCTTCTCCTTTAGATTATGATCTGGTGTGCTGGTACTTCGTACACGAACTTCTCTTTTCTGGCTGGAGATGATGGCCCGTGCCTGGCGTGGCTGGTAGGTGATGATCTTGGTCATCGGACTGGAAATAGATCGACGCTGTGGCGGTGCGGCCATTGGTCGATATACCTCAGGAGGCATCGGCGGAGATGAAACGAACATCGTTGGTGAAGAAGCGATGCCAACCTCAGTTGAGTCGAGCTCGGCTGGGTTGCCAGCGTTGACTGTAAGACGCTTCTGCTCAAAGTATGGACCTGCCGATGAGCTGCGACCGTTCTGACTATTGATCCGCGGACGTGAGTAGTTTTCGTTCGACGAAGATGTCGAAGGTCGATACACATCGATGTTGGATGATGCGCGCATGCCGAAGTTTCTCGGGGTGTGGTTCACCCACATATCCTTTCGTTTACGTTGGGCGCCAAACTCGTCAATATAATGCACTGGAGCAAGTGAAAGTTGTTTGGTCTCGCACTGTCCTGTAGCTGCAGGCGTCGTTGACTTTGTGTTCTCGTGGTGCGTCTCGGCAGTGGGCTTGCGCTTGAGGCTTGTTGAACAAACACTGGCCTTACGATTCTTCTCTTTAGATTCTGCTTGCGATCCGGCGTACTCAAGCGCACTAATGCCAGGATGCCCAAACATAGGGAACGAATTGAGCAGCGTCTCTGTAGATAGAGGCTCCAACATTTTGCAAATGCGGGAGGCTGTGCAGCCTAAATGCTCAGCGTGAGAGGCAGAACCGCCGTGTGCCAGACCTCACGGGCGCAAGCAGCTGCAACGGCTTGCAACAGCTGAGCTCAGAACGTGGCACAACCAGGAAACTGGTACTCAGCATATGCAGCTATTGTTGTACCGCAAGTACTCTGGCAAAGCTACGGCGTATTCTGGCGATGCTATGGCCCTTACGTTGTAACGTCGGCCAGGAATAATGGCTGTATGCAGAGCGTATGAGACAATCTTCCGAATCTGAAGGGAGGAAAGTCCTGCTGTGAAACCAGTGGCGGTAATTAACAGTAGGGATCAGTTCTCGAGCTCGTGATGGACGTTACGTGACGCGACGTGACACAGCAGATGCTGATAACGAGGCTAATGAAATTATCCTCAACGAAATGACAGGCATGAAAGGCTGGGGTAAGGCCCGAAGTCAGTACGCAAGGGCCTTGAAGTAGATTATCAAGATCATGGGTAAATTTCTTCTTCGTGGCGGCCGCCGGAGAATTGGAAGCAATACAAACGTGGCATGCAATTGTTGGTATGAGCATGGTGTTGTTGTTTCGCGAATATCGGGTTACCTATGAAGCTTGGTTGGCGGGAACTGTCGTCAGCTTATGGCGGGCTGCTGCTTTGGAATGTGGGACAGAGTTGCCGCGTTGCTGTGCGAAAAAGCGTTGTGCGACTTGCTTCTTTCAGCAGCAGCGAAGGGAGTGTCCAAGGCATTCGACCCGCGGGCCTGGAGAAGGACTGTGATCGATAGCTGCTTTCCAGAAGACGACTTCACGAGGCCCGTTATATCGATGTTTGAGGCGCAATGGATGGGTTTGATTGCTATCATGCGTTCCGTTGCTGTGGTGTTGACGTGTGTCGTCCGACAGGACCTCGCATATGCTGTGCAGCATAGCCTTTGCAGGTTGCCATCGAATGCAACTGCAGACGAGAAGGGCACTTTAGCCGCGGCGAGCGGGGTCACTCAGAAGCCAAGAGAAGCCACGGCGAATCCACAGTCGGCACATCTGAGAATCACTGGTCGATCACAGGCAACAGATCTACGCCACGAGCGCCTTCCCGCTCGCGGCCAATCCTCGCAAGCTGATGTGTTTGTTGTGAGAACGCCTGCAAAAGCAAGCATACGCAGCTCCCCGCTATCTAATCCACAAGGAGCTAAAGTGTACAATGAACGCCGATCAAATGCTGATGATATGTATGCCATGGCCCAATACCGTAGACGGAGGTGTTGCTTTTACCCAGTCCTAGGCTTCTTGGGCCTGTTGTCAATGAAAGGCCCGCTAGGTTTAGGCCTTCTTTTGATCTTAGGTTTTGCCTTCATGTTGCCAAGCACATCCACCGGTGTGCTTGCGCGATCGCTGTCGACAGCGGGGGAGCTGCGTGCGTGGGCAGCAGGCGTTGATCGGCTACTGCCGCCGATCTGATTACCATTGGCGTTGTCGTTCGACGCTGTGTCAGACGGCGCATCGAACATGTCGAAGTCGTCGCCGCCGTTTTCGATTTTGAGATCTGGGCTATCGCTCAGCTTGCGCTTTGCGTGATGTACAAGCCCGGGCTCCTTCTTGAGCTCTTCTTGGATCTCTTGTTTGATCCCCTGCTTGATGCTGTTTCCGTTGGAATGATTGCTTCCGTTCCTGCTCATCGGCTCAGACTTCACCTCTGATTCTGGTCGGTGCGGCTCCATGTACCCTTCCTTCGGTGCAGGGTACTTGCTAGAGTGCTCGCTAAGCATCTTCATCACGTTGCCAGTAGTGTATCGCTTGCGCTCCTGCGCATCCACGACAAGCTTCTTCCAGAATTCTCCACGCACGAGCGATTGAGAGTTACCCAAAACCCATAGTGAAGACTTGGCACGCGTCAGACCTACGTTCATTCGGCGAATGTCTTGCAAGAAACCGATGCCGCCTGCTGGCGAGGCGCGCACGCAGGAGAAGATGATGACTTCGCTCTCTCGACCCTGGAAAGCGTCGGTGGTGTTGAAGTCTATCTCATCAATGATGTTGGCACCATACGCATACGAGAACTGACTCTTCAGCTCCTTTAGCTGACTCTTGTAGGGGGTAATGATGCCGACTTTGCCCTTGAAATCGTAACTCGAGTAATCGCTAATGAGTCGCTTGTAAAGCTGCAACGCCACATCAATCTCGGCCCTGTTGATGAGCGAGTGACCCTTCGGAGCAGCGGACTGCTGACCTTGGACGTCGAAGAAGCGGTATGGACCAAGCAGCATGGTCGAATGCCATGGCTGCCTGCGGATACCGGCCATGTCGCCACCGTCCAGCAGCTTACCGTCGTAAAAAGTACGGCTGGGGAACAGACTGATCTCAGGATGCATACGATACTGCGTGTCCAGGAGATGCACGTCATCAGGGTGGTTCTTTTGCATTCGAACGAACAAACTCTGCTCGTAAGCAAAGCGTGCAGCCTCCTTCGAGAACACAGTAGGTGGCAGCTGCTTAGGGTCTCCAACAAGTATACACTTTGCACAGCCGTACTTGAGGGGAATGAGTGCACTCATCTCGACACACTGAGCTGCCTCGTCCACTATGACAGTCTCGAACTCGATGCTGAGACCCTGGAACATTTCATGGCCAGATCCACTGAGCGTTGCGCAGATGACGTGTGCGTTATTCAAGATAGCCTCTTGAGCTCGACGGCGGTTCAGATCTGCGTTGCGACCAGCCAGCTTCTCGTCGTCTTTCGCGTTATCAATCTTCGTTCCGAGGCTCTGCTTTTGTTTGCGCAGAGCATTGATATCGTCTTGAAGCTTTGTAGCATCATCGCCCTTCAGCTCACCCGTTTGGATCTGCGCGACGGCATTTCTGAGTTTCTCAGAGACAGCCTTGTGGTCCGTAAAGAGCTTCTGCGTCGCCTCTCGGTCGCTGTTGTTCTTTGGGTTGGAAGTTCCCAGCTGTTGGTTTACGAGCTCCCCCAGACAGACATCCTGCACGTCGTTCTTGATGGCGTCGCTGCGACCAAGACGGACGATGTTGAGCTTGCGGGTCTCGCCTCCCAGAGTCTTGACGCCAGTCTTGAAACGCATGACCAGTTCGTCGACAGCGGCGTTACTGGGCGCACAGACCAATAGCTTCTTCACAGCAGTGTCGTTTCGCTGCTGGCCACCAGGAACGGGCACGGCTGTTCCACCCCTGCGCAAACTGTCTGACAGTATTGCACCAACAATGGCAGTGATGGTTTTGGTCTTTCCAGAACCAGGAGGACTGTGATCTTGTTAGTTTTGTACGAAATGACTTTCAAGCGTGCCTTACCCTTGGATTAGCGTGAAGGCATCGTTGTCAATAGCCGACTTCACCGCCTTCGCTTGTGCCTTGTTCAAGTTATAATTCTCCATCAGCGGATCGATCTGCTTATCGGTGTAGGCCAACAGAGGCGATGGCTTCGCGCGAATGATCTCGTCGCAAAGATCGTAGTACTGCAGACCTTTGAGCGCACCATACTCGCGCTCAAGCGGAGTGATGGACTGTAGCTTGACGCCGAAGACGGCACTGCTGGGGTTGAGGGCAGATGAGAGCGGGTTGCCAGGCACAACACGGTATGAGACTTCAATGTGCTGTTGCTTTCTCTTGACCCGGAAAACTCTCGCCAGACATGTCGGCACTTCGGCTGATGGCGTCTTCGTGCGCGAAAGAAGAATAATGTCGCCTTCGGAAACCATGATTTCTCGGTTCTCCTCATGTGTCATCGTGCTACCCACCTCCTGGAACATATCCACGCTTGCTCGTGATGTGATACGGACCTCATAAGCCTTGTTCTGATTCTCTTCGCGAGCTTTGACGAAGCCCTGCCATGCTTCAAGTGTCAACAGCGGCTCGAACGTGTTCTGATAGTCGTTCGGCGTTCGAAAAGTATTCAGAACCTTTGAGTAAATGCCAGGGTTCGACTTTGGTGGGTAATCGCCATCGTAATAGTAGTCCCAGCTGAGAATAGCCCTGTGCAATGAGGACAGATCTGGAGCGAGACGAGCCCGCATATCCTTGATCGATCGTTGTACCCTCTTCTTCTTGAACGGCATCTGGATTTTGACCTCGTTGACAATGTTCGTCTTCGGCCCGGTCTTGATCTTGCCCTTCTTGATGCCGAAGAGATCTTCATCGATGTCGCCATCGCTGTCTTCCGACTCATCGGAGGAGTGCATGAGTCCTTCTCCCTTGGCGGCTGAGTCTTTGCCCAACACGCCCAGCCCTTCCAGTCCCGAGCCCGCTTCGTTGGTCTGCGTAAGGCCGCGAGCCTGTTTCGCTTTCGCGATAGCAGCAGCCTTCTCTTTCTCGCGTCTCTGAAGCTCAAGCTGGCGCTTCCGCCTGAACTCATCCTGAGAAGCACTTTTCTGGGCATCAAGAGCCTTCTGCCTAGCAAGCGTCCCTTCTGTTGCTCGCATAGCTTCACGCTTCTCCTTGAACGCAGCTGAGCCTGATGTGAGACTTGACATGAGCTTCGCCTTCGCATCACTCGGTGAACCTGCAGCACCGGTGGACATCCATTTGCTGATGGAAGTTTGCTTGGGCGCTGCTGGCTCTTCCTCCTTAGCGATAGAGTGACCGAGGTGAGTCTCGAGCGCCTGTTGTAACTCGGCTTGCTGTGTGGTGCTGAGCTTTGCGCGAATGTCGCCAGTCAAGATTCTCTCCATGTAGGAGAGCGTATCAGTGTTGACCTCAATAGACACATTGTGCAGCCGAACGAGCAGCTTGCTTATAAGTGTGACCGATTTGCTTGATAAGAACTCGTCTCGCAGGCGAAGCCACTTCGCAAGACCTTCCATAGCATTGGCCGGAAGCTCGAGTAACTCCTGCAACAGCTCCGTCTTGGCCTTACTTTCATCGTCCCCGGACTGAGCTTGCTTCTTCAAAGCAGTCGCGAAGATGCTGCACTGGTCGAAGATCTCGTCAGCAAACTGCATGGTGTCTCGACAGAAGTCCATCATCATCTGCTTGTCGTAGAAACCGAGGTTGCTCCAAGCTTCAGTTGTGGCGAAGATCATGGTCAGAGAGTCCCACAGATTCTTCCAGAGGTTCATCGTCGCTGCTGCCTCGCCGGTATTCAGGTCTTTAGTACGAAGGATACCATCTTGAGAGTTGCACAAAACATCAATAACATCTCTGCAAGTCCTGATCAGACTTGGAGTGGGAGCAAATGCCTTCTTGCGCATGACTTGACGAACAGAGTCGGAAATACCCAGTACTACGTTCTTAAAGTAGTTCTTGAGGATGTGCTGCAAAGCGTTTCGTCGCTCTTCCTCCAAGCTGATGACCTTGAGCAGCTCAACAACCGAGCTTCTAGTATCTTCAGTCGAAGAGAACAGGAGAGAGACAATCGCACTTGACGCGATTGGCTTCTCGAAGAGGGTGTGAAGCTGCGAGGGGTTAAATTCTGACAGTCGGTCGACCACATCCGTAATCGATTGCGAGAGGAGCTTGAAACGATCATTGAAATGACGGACTTCCGCCGGAATCTTTTCGACACCTGACTTCATCGACAGCGGCTCAAGGCCAATCAAAGCTCTCCCCGCGACAAGCAGATGCGACGCAAGATCCAAGCTCTGATGGTCGATAGCCTTCAGTATGGTCTTCCAGATCGGTGCAGATGACGGCGTCTCTGTGGGCGAGGGCTTCTTCGCTGAGATGAGTTGTCTCTCGATGATCAAAGACTGAGCTTCCAACAAGAAAGCCTGTTGAATCACAGTCAAAGTCAAGTCGGCGTCCTCCATGTCGGCGTCGTTTTGGCCCAAGGTCTTCAGCCTCGACACCAGCAGCTGAACGTGCGTCGAGAACATGTCCATCATGCCGTTCACTGTCGGTTGTCCAACGAATTTATCAATGGTCTTGCCTTCGCACATTCTCTTGAATGTGAACTCCAGTACCTTCAGACCTTCGCGGTAGCACTTGGCCTTGGACACCTGCGGATATTGCTGAGCCTGGAAGCGACCGAATAGCGCTTGCGCAAAAGGTCTGGTGGCGGGGCCGAGATTTGCTGGCTTAATGGATGCTTGAAACAACCTTACCCAGCTGAATGCAGCCTGGACATTACTAATAGATTGTTCGTCATCTTCCCTGGCTGCAATCAGTACCTGCGCCAGGACAGGGCTGTTGAGGATTTGCTCCACAACCGTGGCATTCGAGGGTGTGACCGCGTTCATGCCTTCCCAGAAGTCGATTGGTGCCTTCCGCAACAGCGCCTCCATTGTGGCAAGTATGTCGAGGAAGGCCTCCGACTTCAGCGAGAGATGATCCAGCATCAACCGATAGAAGTTCCCATCTAGGCCCCGAACGTACTCCGTGATCAGCTCTCTGTCCATCTTACCGATGATCAGACGCGCTCCACTCCAGAACAGCGGTACAAGCTCAATGTCGAGATTGTTCATTTGGATCTTCATCATCGCGCTGATCATGTAGTCTCGCACAGCCCACTCGAACTCTGACTTGAGAAGGTTGCGCTTGAATGTTGACCACGACAGGGCGGCCCACCGTTGACGACTCTCCTTCTTGCTGAACAGGAAGCGAGTCATAGCTGGCAGATATGTTTGGACTTTCAACCGCTTTTTCGTCTGTACGAGCTCAAACGGCCCATCGAAGTGCTGTGTGAGGCGGTCCTCGTTCCGTACCAGAGCGTCGCAGCTCAGAGCCTCAAAGAAAGCGTACGTGCACTGCCCAGGTAATATCCGGACGCCGCGAGCCTTCGGTTCTGCGCTGCTTAATATTGTGTTTGCCTCGTCCAGACCGGCTTGTATGCGCCCGAGGCACTGCTCATCAACCAGGTTCAGGAAGTCGCCAATGTTGTCTTCGTCGTAGGTATCGAACAGCCGCATCCTCCACTCGGCTCTCGACTGGTGAAAGACGCGCACACAGACGTCGCAGCTCTGCATAAGCTGGTTCAGCCTGCTCAATAGCCACTCTTTGTGCGGTGCCGCCTCCTCCCCATCAAAGGCCAGGATTTCCATTGCCTTGAGCGCTGACCATTTTCGCTCCTCGGCCTCTAGTATCTGCAATTCGCGGTGCTTGAGTGCGGCGGAGTCGGTCTCGGGCGGGTAGCTCGCTATGTCTTCGTCGTAATATACGGCTCCATCCTCACCGATGCGAGGACAGAATAGATGTTGATCTTCGGGGAGGGCTCGAAGCTTGCTGTACGCCTCGAGGTAAGCCATTGCGTCTGGTTGTGTGGGGTTTGTTCGAGCAGTGCAAGTGTCAGAGGGGCAGGAGCAACAGACAGGAGAGCGCGGCTACGGGTGAGAGCGGCAGGAGGCTGCCCGTCGTACTTACTTGATCTTCTCGAGGATTTCCGCCATGCTCTATCACCGAGGTCGTCGTCAAGCGCTCATAGGCTACAGCGTAGAGCAATGGAGCGCGGCACGGTTGCAGTTTCTTAACAAGTGGTTCGAGCGCCTGTAAACACTGAAAGAAAAGACACGCTATGTAACGCCGCTCAGGCACAGCAACCGCCCTTCCTTGCGCTTGCCTGCAGTCGATTGGGGAGCGTATTGTACTAGATTGGAGCCCCACTCTGATACACGGGAAACAAGTCAACGTCGGCGAAGGAGCGGTGGGTTGAGTGGCCGGAGCGGAGCTGAGGTTGAGCGGTGCGGTGGCAGACGCACCGCGGATGTCTGCACGCAGGGCGTCATCGTGAGATTCTTTGATACGCGACGCGCGCCTAGCGCGCGGAGCCGCTGCCAAGCCTCTTAAGCATCCAAACCGATCCAATTTGGTCATGCTTCACTTCGACTGTTTCTCGTTTGCATGGTTAGTCACTCACTCATCATATGTCGCGGCATATCAAAGCAAAAGTATTCAAGAGTCAGTCAGACCAACAGGGCCAACCATGCATTAACTATTTACACCACATCCGCAGCTCATCAGCACGTCTATCGTTGCTGGTCTACGAGTTTCAGCCGCTCAGCGCAGTACAAGCTGAGGGAAATGCAGAAAGGAATGGGAATCGCGTATGCCAAACTTTGCAACCAAGAAAACGCCCGCTTGCCGCTGAGCCTTGCAGCTACGGTCTTGCAATAGGGAAAGAAAATAACAATGGTGTATACGTGAACGCCTGATGCGTAACATGGTGGGGAATATCTTTATATACAAGTCGTTAAAACAGTGGGATAATGCCTAGCACCTTGGTCACCTCGGCGGGCTCGTGGGCGGTGTTTTTAGCTCTGAAGACTTGAGCTCGGGCGAGCTTTTAGGTGAGCTCGTTGTTATCGCAGGCACGGCGGGCACATTGTGAAGATCTGCCGGTGCCTCTTCTCTTGTGATCGTTGCGCGGCGGATGGCATTCCTCAGCCGGCTGCCAATATTGCTGGTTGAGCCGCTTTGGCTGGCGGTACCACTGCGTTCAACGTGGCTGTTGCGGCTATGGGCGGACTCGATGCGGGTCAACATAGCAGCTGAAGTGAAGTCGTTGCTCTGCTCGAAACTGGGACGAACGCGGTCCATAGACATCCTAGCGCGATCGAAGCTCGGTCGCACACGATGCTCGTAACTGTTAAGCGGGCGACCTTCGGATGACATGCGAGGAGCCGCGGGTAGACCCTCCATCGAGCGGCGATATGTGTAGTCGGTGCTATTGCTACCGTTCTGACTTCGCGGGTTGTGCGTTGTCGCGGTAGGCGCAACGGAAGGCGGGTAGATCGGTCGAACATCTTCATCCGTAGGCTCGGCATTTGCAGCCTTGTACTTGTCCGCGTCAACGTCCGGTACAGCAGCTGGAGTCTTATTGTCTGGGGGTGGCGGAAGGTAGCTGTGGTTGTCCTTAAGGTAGTCGAACTTTCCTTGGGCGACTTGCTCACGAATGATGTCGACATCAAGAGGAAAGTACATCTTCTGCGCAGCCTTGAAGATGAATCGTGGTAGCAAACACATGATCGTCGCAACGAGAACATATGCCCAGAAGTTCAGAGTTCCATAAACTTCCGCACCGGCCTTGTAGAATTGAGCACTGCCTGTGAACGATGTGTAGATACCAGTCCAGGTCCAAACAAGGATTGTACTGATGACGACGATCAGAAGCATCAGCCAATCCCATCGGTATGTGTTGTAAAGAACGTAGATGTTAGCGGCGCAGACAGCAGTAGTCGCGGCGTAGACACCCATGCGTCGATATTCTGCAAGATCCAGACCGCTGGCAGTTGCAAAGGTGGCAGGGTAAAAGATTTCGTATACCAAGAAGAAAGCAATAGCGGACTGGTAGACACCGTCAATCATGTAAGCCCTGAGTCTGATTAGCGATTTCCAATGAATGCTGATGTAAATGCATACCAGAACTTCGGCTGGGTCCACTCCTTTCGCTCAATACCACGGCGGTACAGCTGAGGAACAGCAAGCGATATCCTGTCGTCAACGTCTTGATCCAAGACACCCATGACGATAACTGGAAGGGAAGTGAAAGCAAGATTGAAGAAGATAATGTAGGTGTAGTCGAAGATGTACTGGCTGTCGAAGTTGGTGTAAATCTGGTACCAGAAGAGCGCGAACGTCCAGACAATGTTCTAGGTATTCGTTAGCTTCATATCTAAGCGTTGAAGGCGTCCCACTAACCTTGTAGAAGAAGTTAGCGATGGTTTCTGCCAGTCGTCGGTATGACCATCGACCATGCACAAGTACGAGACGGGTCAAGAATCGGAATTGTCCAATCGCGTAATCAGAAGACATGACGGCTGCGCGACCCTCGACGCCAGCAATACCGACGCCAACGTGCGCTTCCTGAATCATGGCAACATCGTTGGCACCGTCACCGATAGCCAGAGTGAGGCAGTCAAGACCGGTCTTGACCATATTGACAACAGCAGCCTTCTGACTAGGGCTGACACGGCAACAAAGAACAGATCGGCACCGTCTGCAGAGCAGGAGAAATTTGCGCTTCAAAGAGTCATCCAATGCGAGCTTCAGCGTGTCACCATCGATGATGATGGCATGAGTGGGGGGCGGGGGTTCGTGATCGTCTTGAGCAGCCTCCAACTCTTCTTCGGAGCCAATCAAGCCAAAGATAGCCAGCTTCTCATCGATCTGAGCTTCCACTGACTCGAGGCTATCGTCAGTGACCTTGAGAATGATGAGGTCCATGTCATTGTCGAGGAGGTTGCAAGAGAAGCCAATATTGATGGCTGTCTCAACCTTGTCACCGGTCAATACCCAGAGCTTGATACCGGCCTGGCCAAGAAGTGAGATGGACTCTGGCACTCCGTCCTGCAACCTGTCTTCGATTGCAGTACCACCAATCAACCACAGCTGATTCTCGATTCGGTCGGAGACCTCTTCAAGCTTCTCTTCACGGTCGGTGATACTGTTGGCGGCAACGTCGTAGTCTTTGTTCCATTCAGCGTATTCTCGTTCCGAGATCTCCTTCTGCGCGATGCAGAGGGTTCGTAGTCCTTCTCTTGCAAACATCTCGAGATGTTCACCGGTAGTAATGCGAAGCTGTCTCTGCTCATTGGGGATCAATCGAGAGTAGATCATGCTGTCTGCTCCCTTGCAAAACAACATGATCTTTCCGTCCGGCATTCTAAGGATGGCGCTCATACGTTTTCGGGTGGAATTGAACTCGAGGGTGTTCAGAACCTGGTATTTACGCTCCTCACCGAGGACATTTACGAGGAGCTTATCGTCCTCTCGGCCGACGAATGTGAAACCAACATCGCGAGCTGTTGCAACAAGCGCCGCCTCATCGGGAGACTGAGCCTTGAACTCGATTCGGGGTGGGTCGCCGGGTGTTCGTTCGGTAACAACGGTATGGCAGAGAGCAAGAGCGAGCATGAATTGTTCGTTGGCCGTCTTCTGCTCTTGACCCGACTCGCCGGCAAGATCATCGATGTAGTCAGGTGCAACAAAGGTGAGGTCGTCATCCCACAGATAAGGGTTGTTGTGCAGTTTGCGGGCCCCCTCAAGCATTCGTACCCGGTCACGAGCAATCTGCTCCCTTGCGCGAGCGCCTTCGACCTCGACGTTGATTCCTTGTCGTCGCTGCATACCAGCTTGTGCTTCAGTATAGGCCTCTCCGTAAGGAACCCCGTTGATCGTGCACTTCTTGAATTCCATGACGTTCTGTGTCAATGTACCGGTCTTGTCTGAGAAGATGTATTCGACTTGACCAACATCGTCGGAAATGTTCCAAGACTTGGGAGTACAAGGGTAGTCAAGCGCCTCGTAGTACATCTGCACGTCGCTGTAGATGAAGAGAGCCTGCAGGGTGCGGATGATTTCGAGTGTGATGTAGAGAGAGATAGGCACCAAGTTCTGGAACAAGATAACACTAGCCCAGAAGGCAATGACACCATCGGTCGCTGGGTTGCCACCGTACGATCCGACCTCGAAGACGGAATGCGAGGTGTCGTCTCTGGCCCAGGTGACGCCAAGGACGACTCCAGAGACGAGGCACATCAGAGCTAGGATGATGAAGTTGTAGATGACGTTCCAGTTGAGATCCTTCGAGATCCTAGCGCGCTTACTGGGCGTGACACCGGAGTTGATCATGATTTTAGTCTCCTCTCCGGTGAAGACGACCACGCCGAGAACCCACTCAGTGTTTCGCAGTTGGCAGCCACGTAGGAGGAGGTTGTTAATCGAGATGGGCTCGGCCATTTCGTACGTCGGTGTCTCTGTGTCCTTGGCGTTGTGCTGCTGCCACCTGATGACGGCGCTGTACGAGTACAAATTCGAGTGTGGACCTTCGCTCTCAATGGCGAATTCGGCGCGTTCGCAGTGGCGGGCGTGTCGTACATCGCGGGTGCAGTGCAAGGCGTTTCTAACTTTCAGATTCGTCTCTCCGTCCAAATTCTTGGTTTCGACGTAACAGGCGCCATCGTCAGATGATGTTGACAAGACAATGACATCTGCGGGTATCTCCTCGTCGTTGTATAAACGGACGAAATCGCCAACCTGCACATTCTTCCATGCATCTTTCTTGAAGCGGGCCTTCTCTGGGGATGTCTTGAAAGGATTGAGTACGTTACCCCAGAACTTCTTGGTCGATGTTCCCCTCGAGTCTTTGCCGCGGACCTTGTCGTCTTCGCCAGGGCCGCCGCGTTCGGTAGGTGGAGGGGAGTGACTGGGGGATGCGCCGGGCAGAGGCGAGGGAACCGGTGTCATCTGGATCCCCTCCTGCGCGTCGAAGTATGACGACCTGTGGGTAGCGACCGAGGCTCGTCGAGTGTCGATCGAGGGACGGGAATCTCCCGCGCCGCGCTCACTGTCCTCTTTGCCCTTTGCTCCCTTGTTCTTTTTCGAGAGGCCCTTCATCAGCCTGTATGTGACGATGATGGTCTTGGTGCATGCCTTCTTGAACTTCCTCCATGCCGAGACGGTGTCTTCGGCGGTGTTGACGTTGTTGAAATCGACGAGTCGGTGCACGGGCGCGTTGTTGAGGTCGTTGTCGAGCACAGTCCTCCTCCAGTCCTCGACAGCATCCTTGATGGCGGTTACTGTGATGATGACAATAAGCGGCACGGCGTTCAGGGCTGGATTCGAGGCTCCAAAAATCTGGAAGATCTACAGGACGTGTTGTTAGCGCAGCACCGACGACGACACAGAGACCAAGGAGTACGTACACCCAGGATAATAATGAAGAGGAAGTAGATGTTGGCGATGTTGTGGAACTGGAACCACAGGTTCTTCGGTATGAAGCTAATAGCGGTGTATTTGGCGGTTCGTATCTTGTTGCGCGCGTATGAGTGGATAGGGTGGCCGTCTTCGTCGCGCTCGGAGCGAGGCAGCGGCACGTTGAAGTAGACCCTGCGCCCCGAGTCCTCGTCGTCGTTGCCGGCGTCTGACGAGTCGGGCGACTTGTCCCCCTCGGGCATGCCTATCGAGCCGCCTTCCTTGCCCAGCGAGTCTCTCTTCTCCCCTGAGCCTATCCGTCGATGCAGGCGCTCCTTCAGCGAATGCCGCTTGTTCTCAGCCTTGGTGCCGGTTGCGCGGTGCGTCGCCCATCGTATCCGCTTCACGGGATTCGAAATCTCTGGCTCGAGGTCGGCGAACGGCGGCTGCAGTGTGGGGTTGGGGTTGGGGTTCGCGCTCATGGCTGCTGCTGCTGCTGCTGCTGCTGCTGCTGCAGCGACGCGGGCGGCGGAGATTCGGGGGTGCTGCAATGGCCGGCCGCAGCCGGGAGGGCCTCTCTGCTGGCCAATTCGCCAATGCGCCTGGAGCTCCTCAGGGCGCGGGTCGTCGAGGTCGTTGGGCGGTGCAGCCGTGGGCAGGGCAGCGGGTGGTGGTGGTGGTGCGAAGGGGGTGCGGTGCGGACGGGGTGCGGACGGGGCGCGGACGGAGGGTGAGGCCAGCGACGAGCGCGGTCGCGGGCGTGCTTATGCAGATATTATGGGACCCCCGAGATGGGCAGCGCGTCCCAGCAACGCCAAAATAGTCTGGGCGCAGCGAGCGGCGGGCGGCGGGCGGCGGGCGAGGGATGCCTTTGCACAGCAGAGTCTGTTTGCCGGTGCAGTAGGAAAGTCAGAGCCGTATTGTATTGCAGGTGTCTCAGCGCGGTGTCGTCAAGCACCCATGCGCGGGAATAGAGGGAAGTGGCGGAGGGCCCGGAGACCAAAAACGTCTCGTTCGCGGATTGCACTCCTGCGCGTTGCTGACGAGCGCATTCGGCCGGCGTTTACACAGTACCGGGGCCCGAGCTGCGCTACGCTGTATGAGAGATGTCTTTTCGTCCGCAAAACAAAACCGCCTGCCCAGAGAGTCTACAAAGCCGACAGACGACTGCACAGGCGCCGCTCGCGTGCTGCGTGGCCTCAAGATGGTCTCGCAGCCGTTGTGCAACATGACGCCCCTTGAGAGCTGCTCAGGTCCACTGCCCACTGCCTACAGCCTACAGCCCAGTGAGCATGACGCCTCAGCCCCGCGCCCGTCAGCGTCATGACTTGTCGTGCTTTCCTAAGCACTTTCCCCAAAGACATTTCTAGCGCGTCTGCTGGCTGCTAGCAAGGGGACTCAGTTCCAATGGCTCGTACGAAGCTGCTGGGTAATCTGGGCACGGCAGAAAAACACAGATGAGCTCTGTGACCCTTCTGCAGGGAAGACCTCATCCTGACACAGTGGACCCCGGGAGCGCTCATGAAGATCAATGCGAAGCAACGAGACCGCCTCACCAGGCACCACGCTGCTGTCCATGCTGCTGTCCATGCTGCTGTTCATGCTGCTGTTCATGCTGCTGTCCATGCTGCTGTCTACGCTGCTGTCCATGCTGCTGTCTACGCTGCAGTCCATGCTGCTGTCTACGCTGCTGTCTACGCTGCACTTATTACTGCGCTCCCCTGGACGCACTGTGCCGTGTCCAGTATGTCAGCGTGTCAGCGTGTCAGCGTGTCCACATCATGCGTGAAGCTGCGGACGCTCGGTGCTCGGATGCGGACGAGCGAGCATTCCGCTGCACGTCGTTGATGAGCGCCCGCACGCGTCACGACTCACGACGTCTAGGCCTGTCCTCAGCCTCCCGTAATCCGATGCTAGCGCTCCACACGATCCCGTGAGAGCGCGCCGCTGGACTTGCGACCAGGCCAAGCATTCTGAATCCAACCCCACTCTATCAACAACGCGTCGCGCGTCGGTGCAAGCCAGCCGACGCCCGCCATGAAGCGGCACAACTCGTCCAACAACAAGAGTATCCTGCACTTCTTCAAGAGGGTCCCGCGCACTTCGCAGGAGACATCTCCAGGTACTGCTGCACCATGCCCTCTTGAGACACGCACACAGGAAGCTGCAGCCTCGGGCTGACCATTCGAGCAGCAGTAGACAATGCCAGCGAACATGTCTCTCACCAGCCCGCTTCCAGCAGCATTGCACTGCCAGATTGCACGCAAACATCTGCAGCTGGTTCATCCGTATCCTTTGGTTTCAACACCTCCACCGTAGCGGACGCACCCACCACCGAAGACACCATCATGACATCGATCGAGACGCTACCACCAGCCACATCGCAGGCCTCTGCAAGCTCGCGCATGAGCAGGCGAGTCACATCAAACGGGCAGCAAGCTGTTCTCAACTCTGAATCAGACTCCGACTCGATAGGAGAGCTGGAGTTTGGCGTCTCTGCGCCAAAACCATTGAAGATGTCAACAAACACCGGTCGAACAACTCGAAGGACAACTTTCGAGGACGAGCCTGAGCTACGCAGACCCCCCAGAGCAGACCGAAACAATGGCAGGCGATCCTTCAACCAGCTCGTGCAGACAGCGCAGAAGAACATAGACACAGAAAGGAAGATCCAAGAGCACAAGGCTGAGCTGGCAAAGGAGGAGGAGGCCTCTGTCCTCTTGACCACAGATCTGGACAAAGACACACTTAAACAAGCTGTTCAGGCTGGCGAAGACTCGGATCAGGCTGATCGACTGTACAAGGCAATGCAGAGAACCAACGAAGTTCGAGTGCACACTGCCTACCACTTCTTCGAAGACTCACCCAGTCTATCTCTGACATATCCTTTTCCTGAAAAGAGCCTGCCAGAACACGGCTGGGCTGCATGTTTCGAAGGTGCATTTCCAGTTCTGCGACAGCTGACTATGCTAACATCAAGCCAGTGCCGTCCACCCGAGATCAGGCTTTCGTGACTGGATTTGCCCAACAGATCTTTCGCCTGCACGAGTTGCCGAAAGAACTTGCTACATGGATGATAGACCAAAGTAAGGCCTGTTCTCGAGTGGGAAGTATGCTTGCTTATCTGGCTAGTCTGTCTTGGTCACAGTCCAGCGTTGGACCAGAAGTATCTCGAGATACTCCAGACTCATGATGAGCAATTGCAAAACCAGCTCAGTCCGAAGCGCCTGGACGTCATGTTCAAGTCCATCGGCGCTCAGATCGAACTTCTGGAAACAGATGCTGAGATCTTGCCGTCCGAGGCGCATGCGAAGAACGAGCGTCTATTACCTCCGTCGCTCAAGCGCATCGCGACGCTGTTAACATTGGCCGCCCCGTGGTAGGCCACATTCCATGTTCGAGGAGTTGACGCTGACTTTACAAGGCTACACTCGAAAGCTCGAATACACAGCTTACACCTGCTGTGTCACACCTGCTTAGACGACCGCCTTTTACTGGACTCGGACATTCTGAACTCTGTTCAAGCCGCCATCGAAGCAGTCATTTGCCAGTACGCCGACAACCGCAAGCTGGCTTCTGGCGTAGGGAGCCCTCCACCAGATGATTTGCATTCTCTGATCATCTCTCAGCTCACACACGTCCTACCAAAACTGCTCCCGCGCATCACAAATCCTCTTCTACAAGCAAACCTCATTCACGCGTTTCCAGCGAGATCGCCATTGACGGCCTACTTACAGCGACATCTGGCTCTATCGTTCCTACTCTTCCCCGATACGGTCGATGTGTCCCTTACCGACCCGCAGCTGCCCAATCTCATCCACGCGCATCTGGACAACTCACCACACTATCGCATGAGCAAAGACACCAATTACAGCCACGTCGCAGCCCGCCTTACGCTCCTCGACATCGCAATTGGACCCGGGCCAACCGCCGTCCCCTACATCCCACTCATCAGCCCTCCTCCCTCAGAAACAGGCTCGCCAACTCCCCTGGCACCGACTCCAGCATCCTCGGCGGTGAAGGAGTTCAACAAGGAAATCGACGCGCTCGCACAACACATCAAGCTGATCGGCAATTCTATCGTCGAAACCGGGGCAGCGCTCGATCTCACGATTCTGGAAGCCAAAGAGCGCTGCGAGAGACTCTTTTGGAGATTGCAACATGCGGTGCGCATTGGGGGGAAGAAGGCGGAGAATGTGTTTGGGGATGACGTCGGAAAGCAGCTCAAGGTCAAGAAGTTCTTCAAACCGTTTCCGAAGAGAGCAGTTCAGAAGGAGACTATCTTTGATCAGTAGGGCGAGGACGAGGTGCAGGCATAAAATGCGGCGCGTGTGTTGAAGCAGAGGTCGTAGAGAGATTTATGATGCCCAGTCTCACCTATCATGAATCTTCACATCAACGTTGGCTACGTACAATGGCAAAAATGCGCCACACTCTTCCACCTCCGCGTCCACTGCAGACATCGACAGAGCTTCGACACTTGGGCCAACGTCTCTTCATCGTCGCGACCACGCGTGCCATGCATCGTTCAGGGGGATCTACAGCGTAGCGCAGCCTCGCAGCACACTCAGTCCAGCCCAAGCCCCACAGCACGACCAAGACCCAGATAGCGCAGGTTGCGCAACTGCATCCTTCGCCCAGTCCCACGCTGCAACACGCAATCTGGAATCTGCAATCTCGCAATCTCGCACGCAGCTCAATCTCCCTCAGGCCCTCAATCAATGGCGCCGCGCACAGCGAGCCCGTGCCGAACGCGTACGCTGCGCCAAGCCAGGCTAGAAGGGGAAGCGTGTGAGCGGTGCTGCGCGGGCAATGCTGCTGGATAGATTGGATACGCGAGGCGATTGGGGGGCCGCAAGCTAACTATACGGTGCGGTGCGGTGCTGGCTTGACGGCGACTTGGCGGTTGTGGGAGGGGGACATACTTCGTACCTGATGGTGTGCTTCGCGCTCGTGCATGACTCGCGCAGCGGAAAACTCGCGAGCGGCGAGATTGAATGCTCCACCCGCGTGTGTGTGATTCGGCAGTGGAGAGTCCTAGTCGCCCGGGGGCCTGTGGCTGCGAGGGCAGGTGCCTGGCGGTAGCTGGGTGCCGGGGCCATGTGCTGTCTGGCGCGCGCTGGGTTTCCCGTCGAACGGTGCTGGTGTTTGAGGTCGGGGGTCTAGATGGTGAGACGGGGACAGGGGGGGAGGTGGCGTGGACACCGGATGATTGCTTGGCCGGATGGGGGATCGTTTCAGTGTTGTCACATTGTGCCGGCTGCCGAGTGGTGGGTGTGTGGGCGTGGATGCAGGGCGAGCTGTGGCTTGAGATGACAGGTGTCGCGAGTGCTTGGGAGGCTTGATGTGTGAATGAAGGGTGACGGCGGCAGCAGCACGAGTGGTATAGATGGCATTGGAGGTGTGGTCTGCACTTGGCATTGTATCGTGCTGTATGCTCGGTCGTCGAGAGCGTTGATATCTGGATCTGGTCGAAATCTTGTACTAGACGATCCAATAGAGTCTATAGAATGCTATGTGCATATGAAGTGTAGTTCGAAAGAAATGTGGACACAGCACTGCTGGCCCTGTCATTACTGCATCATCTCATACATAACAGGAGGGAAAGAAAGAGACGTTCGGAATCGGGTATATGTCGAACAGCCTTCGTCCCATCTCCTCCAAAACCCACAAGCCTCCCCCCCCCCTGGCTCACTCTTTTCTCTTTGAGCCCTTCGTCTCTTCTCGTGCTCTCTAGAACCCTCCGCCATTCTTCTCGTCAATGTGCCTGTAGCGCTCCTGCTCCATCCTGTACTTCAGAACCATGGCCACGCAAAGGACCAGTATGAAGTCAACACCAACAATACCAAAGGCCGCGGTGAAGATCTGATCAAGGTAGCGGTTGGTGAATGAAGAAAAGGGACCAATGCATCCACCCTTCTGAGCTGCGACAAGAGCGTTGCTACAAGTTGAATCCTGGACGAAGGGAGGCGTAGTGGCGTTGACGTATCCGCAGCAGTCAAACTGATTCACGTTAGCACTTCTTTCTCGTCTTGATGACTGCTCCACAACTACCTTTTGCTGCAGAAGAGACTGGATCTGCGGTGTCTCCCGTCCCCAGAGAACGCTCAGGTTCCGGCGCGTCTGCAGCGTCTCTACCCAGATAGCAACACCCAGACTGAGTGTGAAGGTTGCACAGATGACTACGAGCCAGCCTTGAAGGCGGAGCCAGCCTCGGTTCGTAGGGAGGAAGAGTGCCGGCAAGGATAAGAGGAAGGTAGCGAAGACGAAGATGGCATTGACAACACCAGCTGTCAAAGGGCACTGGCCGAGCAGTAGATTCTGGGTGACGTTCGCTACGGTCTGTGTTTCCCGCATCGCTGCCTCCGACATCAACGAAAAGCCCAGCAGCAGTCCTCCGCATCCAGCGAAGAGTAAATCGAAGCCGATGAAGGCCAGCATCAGCTTGTTCGGCATGGTGGAGGTTGGTGGATGGTAATATGCGTCCTGCGGCTCGGTATGGTATGGTGAATCGGATTAAAGAATGGAAGTCGAGTGCAGCGGAGCCGTCCGGCGTGCTCTCGATGAACTACGACAAGTGCAATTATTAGATGTATTGGAGAAACGAAGAGGAGAAGAAACAGCAGCGAGGGCGGGAAAACAGAGAATGCATGGCGTTGCGCGGACGGGCAGCTGGAGCATTAAGAGGCTCTGCTGGGCGCGTCGCAGTCGCAGAGGGACGAGGCGAATGGAGTTTCAGTGGTGTTCGAGCATGTCCGTCGACCAATTACCGTCGCGGACGTCGACGGTGGTTCGATGCGTTTGGCGCTGAGACTGCCCGTGACGTACACACGCCGTTAGAAATCGGACAGCAAAGCCTCAAGGTGTCTGCAGGCTAGAGGCTACATCTACATGTGGATATGAGGCAGCTGTTGCAGCGCGGCATCGCGAGCGACGTTGGTGTTGAGCACCGCAAGTCACGCCGGTGTGCGATGTTGGTGGCGCCTGCAGCGAAGGAACACGCTTGACCGAGGCGATGCCCGGGTTTGGCAGGAGGACTGCAGGATCGAGGCTAGTGCGCCTGATGTAAGCAGCTAGCCGGTGAGCGGTAGGCCAAGTGGGTCTCTGTGCGCGCGCAGACGGTGAGTGGTGGGATAACGCTCGGGCTCGAGGCAGAATGGCGCTTTTTCGTGATGAGGGAAGTGCCCGCTGCTGCTCTTCTCAAAGCGTACTGACAGCTTCAGGCGCGTCTCAAGGCACGATATGGGTGTCGAACTGCTTGTAGCAAGCAGTGCTTCCCACTCAGAGCAAGCAGACGGGGCAGGCGACAGCGGCCACGCTCCCCCGCGCCGCCCATTCCACCCAAGCGCGCGATCTGCGATTCAGCGCCGACCAGGGTGCGCGCTCAAGCGGTCGCCCGCCCCCCCGTCGTCTGCAACCACGGCAGGCGTCTGGTCTGGCACTGGCACCAAAGCAGCTGCTATACTTTCCCCTCCGCCGCCCGTTTCACTCTTTCCCCAATCTCTCTCGCTCTTTCCCTCTCTGAGACAGCTCTCTCGCACCTGCACCACCCAGCGTGTGCCCTGCGTCGTGCTGCCTATCGCTGCCTTTCCTGCCAAACTGCCGCGGCCAAGCTCCCACAAGCTCTGCGGGCTCGCCCCAACTGCTTTCGGCGCCCTCACTCCACTCTAACGCAGCTTTTGCTCGCTCCAGCTGCTCTTGGTACGTACCGCGCGCTGTTGTTGTTCGCGGCTGGCGCGTTCTGTCGGTCGCACCCCAGCCATCCCCCGGTCCGCCGAGCCCTCGCTAGCCTGCCAGTCACGGCCGCTGGCCTGCGCGCCCGAGCAGGTGCGGTGTTTTTGGTCGCCGGCAGCGCCGTGCAACCGAGCTCCTGCCCTCTCCTTGCATTCCTTGCTCGCCGCAGCGAAAGGGTTCAGCATCCGCCTCTTAACTTGTCTCGTTCTGTCTCCAAGCGCGCCTGCTTTCCCCATTCATCCACCCGGGCCTAACCCGACTCTAGACAGCTGCACTCGTCTCGTCTGCCTGTTGCGCGCAGTCCAGCCCGCCAAACAGACGCCGAGGGTTCCTCCCCACACAGACAGCCCGCCCAACGCAGTTAGGACCGCCCACCGCCAGACACCCGCAACCATCGACGCGCGCGCAACACCACCGCCATGGCCAGCGAAATCACCGAGCACGACCAGAACGCGTCGCCCTCGCTGCACGACGACGGCAACGGCCAGCTGAATGCTGACGCCAACCGCGGCACCAAGCGCCCGCGCCCGGCCGCCGATGACGACGACGACGACGACGACAAGCCCGGCCGCGAGCGCAGGAAGATCGAGATCAAGTTCATCCAGGACAAGTCGCGTCGCCACATCACCTTCTCGAAGCGCAAGGCTGGTATCATGAAAAAGGTGCGTACTTGACGTTGTTGTCGCTGCGACGCGTGCCCCTCTCGCAGGCGGCCGCGCGCAGTCCCCTCGCGCAACGATTCGGCGCCCTGCGCATTGCATCGACTAACGCCGCGCCAGGCCTACGAGCTGTCCGTCCTCACCGGCACCCAGGTGCTGCTGCTCGTCGTCTCGGAGACGGGTCTCGTCTACACCTTCACGACACCGAAGCTGCAGCCGCTCGTCACCAAGCCCGAGGGCAAGAACCTCATCCAGGTACGCTGCACCGTCGCTGCACGTGTCGCATTGCATCACTGACCGCCTGCAGGCCTGTCTGAACGCACCTGAGCCCTCCAGCGGCGATGCCAACGGCGTCGAGGACAACCAGGTCGACTCGCCCGAGGACAACCACGCGCAAATGCCACCCGGCCAGCCCCGCGGCGTCCCCAACAACAACGCCATCCCCCAGGCTTACATGACACCAGAAGCCGCTCTGCAGTACCAAAACTACCTCCAAGGCCACCAGCAATCACAGCAGTACCCCATGGCCCAGCACGGCATGCCCCGCCATCCCAGCCAGCACTATCCCCAGGACCAGAAGCTCGGCTAAGCGCTGAACCCATGACATGACTTTGCGGGCCTCTGCCAGGTTTGGTAGCTGGCCACGATTCGGGCGTCGTGCACACTGCCCAGGACGGATACCCCTTATATTGGCCAAAAAGTAATTTTGCATGGCTCACGAGCAGTGCTCTGGTGTACGGTACGCAATGGCGCTTGTTTGCGATGTGCTAGACAGAGGGGACGATATGCATGTGGGAACTCTATGTTGGGAGCCAGGCGGCTGCTGTTCTGATCAGACGATTGTACGTCTTCACGTGGATACCGGCGTGGCGTGGTGTTTTCTTTTTGCGGTCACTGTGGACATCTATATCATCTCCCGTGTGTCATTTATGAGCACTGCGTATTTCGACCCCTCTCACAGCTAGAAGCATCGGTACAATACGATAATTCACCTCAACACGACTGCCTTCAGTTGTGACTCTTTGTGGCCTAGCGAGCTCTGGGCGTATTTCCCTGTTCGAGTTTGAGCAAATCACCACTTTTGGACACCGGATTGCACTTAACAAGTCATGCGGCAAAGCGTTCTTTCCCAAACGGCGCCCCTGCATCGAGTTTGCGGGGTCGAAAGCAACATAGCCGAGTCTTCTGGACCAGACAATGCGCAGCGTCACTTTCCACCACACCACCAAGACCCTTGCAATGTCGCCCTCGACCCACTCTCTGACGCCTCCAGTGCTCTGGCACAGCCTCTTTGCCCAACCGTGGCGGTTTTGCAATCCCCTTGGATCCTTGTAAATGCCCGAGTGCTCGACGTACTGCGGAAAAAAGAAACATGTGGCTTGCTCTGCACGACAACCGGTCGTTACAGCGCGACGCGGTGCTCCATTCAGCATAGCCTTGACTACCGGAAACTGCAGTCATGCTGTTGCACAACGATACTATAAGTCGCGTTCTGGTCATGATGGCGTAGGCTGCCATGGACTCGAAGACCTGGAAGCAACGAAGAAGGCGCGGGCGTTAAAGCCGGCATTGAGTGCGGCAACGAGATGCAGCAGGCAGACGGGAGCCCTGAGATACTGACGGACGCATCCCTACTGTGGATCACAGGAAATTACCCTGCAATATTACCCCTGTCGCTGTGTACATCCTCCCCTCCTGGCGACCGCGGAAGAGGGTTCAGACAACGTCTTGCGAATAAGGCCGGCACAAAGTGATCTGGGAAGATGTACACGAGCGGACACCACCTAGCGGGAACACGGCATTTGTGTTGTGTGACTGGGGTTCATCACACCCGACATTACGCGCATACACTGACGAACCGAGATCGCAGGACCTCAATAGCCTTGCCATCGCTAGGCTGCGATATCACGACAAGTATTCCAGGCATCAGGTCCTATGACATGAGTGCTCCGAACCTACGCGCTCGAGCAAACCAAGGTCCGACATCTGGTGATTTGCTTAGGCAAAGACAGTAGAGCTCGAGCATATCCACAGGCTACAGCACTCGGCCTTTTCGACACGCTAGACGTCACGGTACATGCGTGAGAGGCAGTTACATTTTCACCCCACAGAAGCATGTTTCGCTCGATTGCTCTGGGTGCCACGCCTTTCACTCATCTTGACACTGTTCATTACGCTTTATCGAGTTATCCTAGTTCGCCTCACTACTCGCTATTGTACAGCATGTGCTATCTACAGGGAATAACTTTCAGCTGTGGGCACATCCAGAAGTCGCTCTTTATGGCATGCAAATACGCCGAGCGATTGCCTCGCACAACCAATGTCGACGCACCGAAGTTCTGCCTGTAGGGCTTCAAAGTCATCAGAAGTATAATTATTGGAGAATCGTGTGGGTCTAGTAACATGAACATGTATGACCGCCTACAAGCTAAAGCATTAAAGTCACTCCTCGAACGCAAGACGGTCATTGAAAACGAGATCGCCAACTGCGCTAAGCGTATCTTCAACATCAAGGCTTGCTCAGATGGCAGTATGCGACCTCTGTATAACTGGTATCAAGTCTCCGAAGAAGGGTGGAATGCAATCGAAGAACAAAGGCGACAGGACACTCTTTGGAACCTTGTGTTGGCGCCGAAGATGGAAAAGGCAATTGCCCTCTTCAAGGACAGCTACAACAAGATCGTGACAGCACATACCGTCACACTCAACGAGCTTCGCAAAAGAGATACTGGTGTAGCCACGAAGGGCTATCAACCAGCACTCAACATGCCACCTCAGCCGGATTGGAGCATTGTGGACTTCCTCCAAGAGTCGTTTCTGACACATCCGGATTGTACGATGTACAATGAGGTGGTTCTTACAGTAAAGACAGGGTTGTAATACGAGGTGCTCAAGCTCGAGAAATCTGCACTGGAGGCTTGTATGGACGACGTTGGATGGACCTTGCCCGAATACAAGAATGCAAAAGAGAGTCTGGAGGCAATGTTGCCATACCGGTTGGTTCGGTCTGTGGAACAGTCCGGCACGGCCGTCCGAGTGGCTTTTGTGTTTCAAGGTCATGGTATGAGGTTGATTCGTTTACACCCAGAGGACGAGGACGAGATGATGGACGTGGCTGTTTGATTTGCCGGTAGCCTGCAATGTCTGGTAAGGCAAAGATGCGCATTATGAGTATCGACTCTTGAGTCCTCACAACGTGACATACCGAGTCGCGATTTCGTGATCTTTTTCAAAAGAATATACATAATTCTTTGCTTCCACGTCAGCACTTGAGTGAACGCTGCTAGCCTCGCGAGCACCTATGGACCTGAGAACGCTAATCCCCAGACCGGCCTAGATCCATCGATGTCATCATCGATTGTGCTTCGACCATGGCACTGCAATCTCAAATGTATTGCGGTCAGCTGTTGAGTAATATAGTGCATCCGATCAACACATCATTGTTATCACGATGCCGCCTTGGTCCATGATCTCGCCTGCCTCGCGGGGCATTGGTTTCGCTCTTGCCCGAAGGGTCCTGCAAACCACCAACGCGCCTGTTGTCGCAACAGCGCGTAAAGATCTAGACAAGACGAAAGAGCAATTGCTCGAAGGGTTGGACGTCGATGAAGCGCGATTGAGGGTGTTGAAACTAGATGTCACAGGTAGGTGGTTGCGACATTTCACGTTCGTAGCATTCGGAATGTGTGGGCTTGCTGAGCAGATCCTGGTGGAAGCTGACATCCTTTGTAGACGAGTCCACAATCGCAGACGTGGCAGTAGCGTGCAAAGAGAAGTTCACGCCAGGCGATCACCAGCTCCAACTGGCCTTCTTCGTGCCTGGACTGCTCTTTCCCGAGAAGGCGCCAGCTCAGATTGACGCTAAAGATGCGCTCCTCACGTTCCAAACAAATACTCTGGGGCCGATGCTCATGATCAAGCACTTTTCGCCCTTCTTGCCAAAGAAGCGTGCGGAGCTTGCCAAAGATGAGGAAATGATGAAGGGCCTTCCACAAGCGGCAAGCATGGCGATCATGTCTGCGCGTGTGGGCAGTATATCGGATAACAAGCTTGGAGGCTGGTACAGCTATCGCGCTTCGAAAGCTGGCGTCAATCAGGTCGTCAAGACATTCGATAACTATCTGCGGACAGCATCTGGTGACAAGGCACTAGCGTTGGCTTTGCATCCTGGCACAGTCAAGACCGAGTTCAGCAAAGAGTTCTGGGGTGGTGTCAAGAAGGAAAAGCTATTTGAGAAAGAATGGGTGGCAGAAAGACTGGTCGATGTGGTCAGGCAGGTAGGAGTGGATGGACGGGGCAAGTGCTGGGATTGGGACGGCAAGGAAGTGCTACCCTGAAGACCTCTACGCTTGCAGGTGCAAACCCGGCGTCCTCCTTCTGTTGTCCCTCGCGGACTTGAAATCTTCTCAATACCAACATTTCGTTCTTTTCACATTCAACGGCTCTCATTACCAGCATTCCTTCTATCATCACTTCACTCATTCACTTCACTCGTTCACTTCACTCGTTCACTTCACTCATTCACTACAATGGTTGACGACACGCCGCGGAAGCAGCCAGATGACGGTCGATCCCCGTCCCCACCACTGAACAGGGCTCACGCAGATCGTCATGGGAGTCAAGCATACGAGACTCTGTACCCTGGCGAGACCCTAGCTGGTGGCACTAGTGGTGGTCATCGCTCAACACCAATCTCTGAATCGCTAGACCCCGAGCAACAGCAGACTCCCGACGGCGTCACAGGGGCTCAAGGTCCAGCGGAAGCTCCCATCCAGGCGGAAAACAGCTGGATGGACGCCTGGTGGATGTACTCCCAGGGCTCGATCGGCAGTACAAATGATGTCAGTCTTGGGCAATACCTCAGCGACGCGATATTGAACGATCCATATCCTGAGACTAGCCCGTCTACTTCACCTGCCGGAATGTCATCAGCTCTGTCTGCCGCCGGCTCTTCAGCTTTACTTTCCGCGTCCGCTACCGATGATGCTTCGAGGCCAACACGAGAGTTATCCGACGGTCACACCAGGTTTATAAATCAGCTACCAGCCTTCCGAACGCCTAATATTTCTCCTGTGTCTGGCAGAGCTCGCAGCGACGCTTTCAGTACACCGAACACCTCACCGTTTCATGTCCGAGCTCATAGCGCTGCAATTTGTACGCAGAACTACTCTCCTCCGTTTGGTCACCGACTCCAGTCTTCAACTGCCGCACCGGCTGCCAACACCAATTCGAGACCAGCACGATACACGTCCACTCCCGGCTCCTCAATTGTACCTATCCTCTCTGGACTCCAAGCCAACAATCCTATAAGTACGCCAAATGTTTCTCCCTTGTCTGGGCACCGGCCAGATCCTGTGGGTTCTCCACTTACGGTCTACACTCCGTCTGGACATCGATCATCCGTCACCACTCGGAGGATTGGGAATTCAAGCTGTACGCTCTTTTCTAATCAAGATCAGCAAACACATTCGACACAGCTGCAACCAGAAGTGCAGCTGGAGCACGCAGAACTCCAGATGTTGTCACTACCGGAGCGACCTGCGCAGCCCACAGGTTACGGTGTAGAAGTCTTGTCCACCGAGAACGCTGCCAAGACGGACCCTGCACAAGAAGGTATGTGTTTGTCCTGGCACGTTAATCCAGGCTTGGAACACATCACTGACACATTACTGCAGTTGACAAGCGACGGTTTCTCTTTCCTCGTTACAAGTTCGAGCCGTGGAAGTCGGATGAGAAACCATGGGAAATGGACGAGATTATAGATAAAGTGGGAACCAAGAGGAGGAAGGAAATCGCAGGATTCGACGCAGACATCAGCCTTGTCCCTTTGGTAAGATACGCAAGCAGCAAGATCCGGGCACAAAAGTCCAGGGCCGACTACCGAACTTGGGCCCAAGGAGGTAAAAAGTCTAAGCAGAACCGAGACACCGAAGGTCTCCCCACCAAAAAATCACGTCCATTGGCTTCAGAGCCACAGCTACTCGGTACGTGGGAGCGACAGCCTTCAGGGTTTCGCGAGAAGCGTGCCCGATATCGCCCGGGTTACAGATGGGCAGTGCACGGCGTTCTGAATCCCAGATACGGAGCAGCGCCTGAGCCCAAGACAACAGACGCAGAATCCAGAGCCTCGAATCGTCTTGACACTCTCCAGGCCGGAGCTGACGGCCAGGATGCTCCGGGAGAACGACCCCAAGCACGGCCGTGGCCGGGCTCGTCGAATGATTTTTTTGGTGGCAACGGCTTGCAGATAACACACAAGCACTCCGTCTTGTGTGACAACCTCCAACCATCTCTGTCGCCAGATTCTGGCGTCCTGTGGTCCAGGGATGTACGTGGAATCCAAGACCAAGATGGAAGGGCCAGTGTTCCGGTCTCCAACGAAACATATAGTGTATACGATGACCCCTCCTCCGATGAGCATCCGATGATTTCGAGAAACACTCCGATCTCTATGGTTCTCTCGAGTCGACCCGATTATGGTGTACATCGCAACAATGTAGCTGATCAGACTGGCACGCAAACGCCAGAATATCCACAACGAACGCAACCCGTTGATAACCTGGAGACATCCACACTTGCCGAGCCTTTAGATGGATCCGATACGTCAGCAAACAAAAAAATATCAGCAACTGGAGACGTTTGGGCACCTCTGACTGGAGGGAGTGATCGCGACTGCGGGGAAAGCAGAAGGCGTACACATCAACGCATACTAGGTGAAGCTCTTGATAATGCTCTACATGATATTCCTATACGAGAGGTAATCCCGGAGGTCTTCAGTCTGGCATCGCAGCCGTCTGGTACTGCACATTCACCATCCCATACCGACAATATCCGCGATTGTAGAGGTCTGGAATCAGTACCATTGACCACAGCCGAACAAGGCCATCGTGCCAACGAGAACCGTGGTATTACCGCCCACAGATCTGTTGAAGCAAAGCAACATGCTCTCGTTGGATGGGGTACACTGGCAAGTAATGCACTGCATCGAGTATTGGGTGGACTCGCGCCATCGCCAACGACGATACGTGCCGTTCTGTAGTCGCTTGAAGGCGGGAGATATGGTGGAAGACCATCGATCAGCGACAGGGTCAAGTCTACAGAGAAGTGTGATTCAGTTACTGGGCACATCTCAGTATAGCAGAGCGATCTTCACTCCTGCTACGTGCAGCTGTGCACAGGCTTGAAACCGATCTGAATTCTGTGCTACGTTCGAGTATGTCTCCGTGGATTCGTTTGTCTCCGATAGCGCCATGAAGTCCTCCTAGTGCTGCAACCTTCCAAATATTACTTATATTGCGAGCTCCACCTTTTGAGTTAGTCTTTCAGTCCATCTGTTATAGCAGACACTGAAACATCCCTTAGCTGTACCGAGAGCCGGCTTCGAAATATTGTGGCAACGTCGCTCGAGAACCAGGAGATCCTTTCGAGCAGCCAGCAGAGACGAGACTTGGCTTCAGGCTACACGAGGCGCTCGCAGGAGCCACGTTAGATCTGATTGATACTACCGTTCTGCACCATCCTGTCTGGGCGCCCAAATTTTCAAGGCAGCTTTTGAAAAGCATTTGCTTGCATGTGGCATTTTACAAGCTCATGGAAACCGCCTATGAAGTCACATCCCGCCAAAACGAGCGATTTTTGCTGTATATCGTCTTCACAGACGGATAGTAGCGCACCGTACTACTACTTGTGTTGACCCTGCATAGCTATGAGAGTTCGTGCGACACAATGGCAGGGGATGTTTGTGCGCGTATCGGCATGACCACGATAGGCTGCTCAGCTGCCAGGCTGTCTTAAGCTACGCTGCTCGGAAACGACCATCGCAGACTCCGGCGAGGCGAATGGCTGCTAAGTTCTTAGACCGTATGCGACAACTTAGGAGCATACAACAATGCAAGTCTTGAGATATAAGCCTCTAGCGGCAATCGAGCGGGATAAATCTTAGAGAATCATCGCACTTCCAGCAATCCTTTGTTACTGACTAAGGTTGTTGAGGAAGTTTGGCGGGATGGGCTCGCGTGACTTCAAACTTTGCGCATGGCCGGGGAGGTCAGCATGAGCAGCATGTTCTAGGACAGATATAGGCAGGATCTCCTTGGCTACTCGTATATCAGCAGGATATTAGTCTATTGGTCCTACAGCTCGCTCTTCGCGCCACTCTCTGGCCTGCGCCCCTTGGCGATCAAAATTGTCCGCCACAGCTTCTTGCCGCTGAACTCCATGTACGATCGCTCTTTCAACGTGACAACATCGACATCTACGAATCCAGCTGTAGTAAATATTTCTTTCACACCGTCAATTGTGAAATGCGGAACGACAATGGAGTCGGCCATCTTCTTGCGTAACTCTGGGCTGGGGTTCGTGAAGTCCCCGTTCCTGTTGTCGTGCTTGTGCTCATGCTCGTGTGCATGGTTCCGGGTATGGCCATTGTGAGCTTTCTCGTCGGAATGCTCGTGTTTGTGACCGTGACCGTTGTGGCCGCGACCATGATCATGCTTGTGTATTGCGTGATTACCCCTGCTGCCTTCAACAGGGTTGCCGTCCTCGTCAGCGAGCAGATCACCACCCTCGAGGAAGTCGTTGATGACCAGTGCACCGCCTGGTCGCAAGCGCTCTTTCAGCTGCTTCGCAGCATAGACCACGTCTTCAAAGTGGTGGAATCCGAACCCGACGACGGCGAGGTCAAAGTCCCACCATTGCTTTCCGTTGAGCTCTTCAGGCATGGGATTTGACTTCTCGAAAAGGTCACCGACAACTGCATTCACCATCTCCTTTGATAGACCAGCAGTCGACGCGCGGGAGTTGTACGTTGCGACCATGTTGGGAGAGATATCGACACCGAGCGTCTTCGTGACATAAGGCCCGAATGTGCGTGTCATCACTCCAGTGCCGCATGCGTAGTCCAAGAGACGAACTTCCGAAGCATCGGTGTTGAAGCCAGTGTTGGCGAAAGGAATGCCGATCCAGTCCAGTCTCCCGCGGAGTTCATCAGCAACTTGGGTGTTGACTGTTGCGAACCACGGCTTGGTATCGTAGGAATCAGATATCGCACTGTGAATATTAGATTGAGACCAAACATCAGCTGTTACAGGTGCTGGCTTACTCAAAGTACTTCCGGTTAAGTTCTGCTACGGACATGTTGATAACACTTGAGTGATAAGTGCAATTGAAGATGGCTGATGTTGTTACTGAGGAGCGTTGGATTGGCTGAGTGCTTTATTGTGGGTCGTAGATATTATAGCTGGGACGTGGAGTGATGTTATATACGTAGTCCCGCACTCTGACGCGGATGTGTGGAGACTTTTGCGGCTGATGGAATGTCGCCGCTGTTACCAAGGATGAAAAACTCCTTTTGGCTAGATCGAAGACTAGCTCCACAGTGTATGGCTACAACTTCGTCGTATGAGGAGCTTACATGATGCTTGCAACGGACCACCTATGGAGAATAGTGTTTCTGGCTGGCTCATAATCTGTCAATTCTTCTACGGCGGACCCTTTGGGCTCTCAGCTGCACCATTTGCAGCTAAACCTCACCGGTTTACACAGGCCCGGAGACATTCAGGTCTGTACACTGAGGATGAGTCGACGGACACCTACGAAAGTATGCCCCCAATGATTTGAATATCGAGTGACTCATTACCGGTCGATGTTCTATGTTCCGAGCTTGCACTCTGTAAAGCTTGCTGCCGGGCGAGGCCCTCTGTTCGCTTGCGCTGCTTCCTAGAATCTGCATCCTCCCAGTTTGGCTTTGAACTTCCAGACGTTGCGTTAGACGTGAGCTGATAGGACTCCAGTAGCTTTGTGCGGAACCGTGCTATCCTCTCCATATTGATCTTGAAGCGTTCGTTGGCAATGCAGACCAAAGTCCTCAGATGAGCCTCACTTATCAAGGAGACATTGCGACCTGCCTCGTCTTGATAACCAATGATCGAGTCGAAGGAGTAGCCAGTTGACCGGATGGCAACTACTGGGGTCGCCTCTCCTGATTTCGATGCGCCCAAGCTGACTGCACCGCTCTCTCGAAAGCCGGCTCCCATTCCAGCGTTCAATATCTTCTGAGCGTGATCGAGGGAGGCATTCAAGATATGAAGGATCTGTAGGATGTTAGGAAAGTTATGAGCTGATCATGGTTGACCTTACCATTGGCTCAAACTTCAGATGAATGAATCTGCGCTGCGCATCAAATCTGCTAAGCTCATCGTCCGAAACTTTTTGCAAACCAAACTTTGACGTAAAGTCAGTTGGAAAGGAGACGTCTGGCACCTCTACTGGATCGTGCGAGATGAAAAGCCAAGAGCCTCCCCCGCCTTTCCCGCCTGGTCCGGCACGCGACTCCTCGCCTTCTTTTGGGGATTTCAGAGCATCGCCGTCCGCTTTCCGGCCCTCGAGGAAGACACTGATCCTACCGGAGCAGCTGCTTGTTGTGACAATGCCATCAAAGCCATTGATCTCGCCAATCAATCCACGAATCGGCGCATCAATCGATCCTTTGGGTGAGAGGTCATGGTACTCGCCATCTGGAGCGTCGAGCTGCTCCAAGATCTTCTGCCTACGGGCCTCGAAGCGCGATGTCATCCTCGCAGTGTTGGGAAGGGAGAAGTCAAGAAATCGATCCCGTGATATGGCGACGCGAACGTGCGTGGGTTTTCGCGGGCCGTACCTTCCAATTGGTTCGTCTGCGTCATTGTTGTGGCCCTTGCACCTTGACACCTGCCAAACTTTCGCCGTCCGACGACACTGTTTTGCACGCGACATTGACGTGTGATTTTCCATACAGGCGAGATTTCAGCATGCCACGAAAGCCGACAAAGCCGTCTCCAGAAACGGCACAGGGAAGCACATCGAAGCGGCCTGCGGCCGACACTCCCAGCAGAGCCTCCAAAAGAGCGCGAGCAACAGCGCGAAAGTCATATGTTGAACCAGATACCGATTCTGAGGCAGATCCTGGCATAGCGGGCACAAAGGTTGATGTGGAGTCTGGAGACATCTCTGACTTCGAGGCGCAGAGTGAGAAAGAGTCGACTTCGGAGTCTGAGCCAGACGACGACGCCAGCGACGAGGAGCCAAAGTTTCAAAAGGGTTCATTGAGGAGTCGACCTCAGAAGAAACGCACGAACACGCAGCAGATTGACGAAAAAGAGCTATGGAAGCCAGGCGCAAAGCTGAGGCCTGGGACACAACTGATCATCAAGAAGCCAAAGGCCCGAGATGCTGGTGACACAGCATACACTGAGAGCACCATTCATCCCAACACTATGCTGTTCCTTCAAGAGATTAAGGCTAATAACGATCGCCAATGGCTGAAGTGTAAGTCCTGACCATCAGCCAGTCAGGTATAATGGGTAGTGACTTTTGAACAGTACATGACCCAGACTATCGAGTTGCAGTACAAGACTTCAATGACTTCATAGGCAAGCTCACAGAGAGAATCGTGGAGATAGACGAGACAATACCCGAACTTCCGGTGAAGGACATTGTGAGTACCGACTGGCTAAACGGAATGTTCCCTGCTGACAATGTCAGGTATATCGCATTTATCGAGGTATTACTTCTCGACCATGTCATGGTTCCCGAAGCTGACAATGTTAGACGTTCGTTTCTCGAAGGATCAGACACCCTACAAGGTAGGTGATGCAGCAAGAACGATGGGCCGAACGACCATGCCCTTTCTGGACTCTGGACCGCGAGGGGGCAATATCAAGCTGACGCAGAACCAGACGTACTTCTCGGCGGCATGGTCAAGGACGGGTCGCAAAGGCCCATATGCCGCTTACTATGTCCAGATTCAGCCGAATGGAGGCAGTTTTGTCGGTGAGTGATGTTCTTCCGAGTGTTAAGTCAACCTCTGCCTTTTCGAAACACCCTAGGCTGCGATCCTGCCTCGTGTCAACGTTCACCGCCAAGAAGAATTTTTGGTGCATCTGCAAGTACTGACAAGCAAAGGTGGCGGATTGTGGCAGCCGGACGCTGAACCCCTCAGGAAACTGCGACACGAGATTGATCGCAGATCTACCAGGATCAAGCAAATACTAACAAACGATCGGATTCGGGACGCGTTTTTAGCAGGTGCTCCCGACAACGAGAAGAAGGTTGTCAAGGCATTTATTGGCTTAACCTCGAACGCGTCAACTGCGTTGAAGCGCCATCCTAAGGTAACGTCTTTCTCATTTCGTGCACGCAGAGCCCAACACCCGCTCTCGAATCAAGGCTATGCTTGCCGGAAGGCAGATGCATGCAATCGAGGTCCTAGTCATCTTGACTACTGGTCTTTCTGAACCGTGTTGAATGCTCGATCTCAAAACAGTATTTCGCGCCGTCCTATACATGGTTCCCTGTCTCCCCCAGAGGCCGGAGCCACGTCCGGCCGCGGGAGCCGTGAACTGTAGCGATCAGGCCAGTAACTGTAATGTCGGACCTGTTCGGGAATCGAAATAAACCGACACCTCGCCGCCACCGGCCGTTTTTTTGATGCCCGACGCCCCAGAGACAGGTTTCGGCTTCAAGACAATTGACCGTCAGTTGTTCAACCATGCTACGTAGCGCTTTGGTAGACGGCAAACACCGTCGTGTCACAGTGTATCTCACGTCCATCGTCATTGCTACTCTTTCGTTATCCATAACCCATGCAATGACTACATGGTGGTGGTGGAGCTCCGATTCGCTAACAGCTTTTGCCCAGGACTTCTCCATGGAACACAAAGACATCGACCTACTCCGTCTGAGAAGCTTTACTCTTGGCAAGAAACTTTCCGATGAAGAGGTTGTAGGACCGGAAGGTATAGACCGGATCGCAGAGTTGATAGCCTGCATAGAGCCCTTTGTGAGTTGGTTCTAATCCTAGTGCTTCGATGACGAGCCCCTGGCGTTTCAATATTGCTGAGGGGTCACCGGAAAATGGCGGGCTTCAGCAGTTGCGGCGCGGTGCCCTAGTACAACCACGAGCGGATAAAGTCTCTGTCTACCATGCGTTGGCAATGCAGCACACTTGCTTCACCGACAGCTGCACCGCCGAAGTCGATATGGGGAAGCGCGCCACAAAATATTGTTGGCTGGGCTGAAGGACGAACGCATGGATAGTCGCGGCGCTAACGCTGCCTTGCAGATCACCTACCTAAACAGTGTCGTCATGCCTGACGAAGAATCGTCCAGCTCCAGCAGCGAAGACGGAGACGAAGACGACAAGAGCGATGATGCCAGTTCTGCAGCGGACGAGGCTGGCAAGTGAGCATTTTCCAGACTCTTGAAATGCATTCGCGCGACCCTGTCTCCATTTTGTCTTGGACTACTCTTGCAGAGAGACGGTATTGGATGCTTCGGATTGGTGGGAAGGGAGGCAGGAAACCTGGCGGCCCGGCTTCGCAGGCGCGAAATTGGCCAATCAGCGGTCGTTTAGCACTGAGACGACGCGCTTCGAGCGAGTCCGAACATTTTTTGCATAGCGCCTGCACGTCTCCGTCTTGGGTGGCACCGTGCTGTTTTAGCTTCGCATGCACTACTGATCATGTGACTTTGAACCCCGGTCCCCTTTTCTAGTGACCGGGCCGCTGCTCTTAGCATCCGCCTTCCCTCGTTGGTGTGCGGCATAGACGGCTGAGCTGTGGATCGAACCTTCTCTCCACTTTCGCACTCAACAACGCCGCCTGAGCCGTCACAGGATATCATTGCGATGTGCATCCCTCAATGTCAGCTTTGCGGCACTCACAGACTGCCTGATTCCACCTGTGCTCGTGTCAACGGTGATTGACAGAGTGATCTTGCGCATTGACCCTTGTAATTCCGGTGACAGTTCAGCTGCGAGGACGGGCCGGGGCGCGATGCATGGATTCCTTTTTTCTCCCGCCTGACGCGTCCCACACCAGACCATCCACATCGCGAGACAACCTTCACCACCCAGGCCCGTTAGATCGACTGCGGCTACATGATGGGAGCTGCGTCGGGGCGTGCCGGTGCGCTGCACACGTTAGTGGAAATTGCACTCGTGTGCAAGCGAGCTCATGAAACCTGCAGAATCCTATGAGCAGGGACTATGATATCACCAGCCCGGTTTTGGACTGATTCTATTGAGCGGCAACACGTTGCACAGCAAGCAAGGGGAGTGCAAGGTGTGTTTGCGTCTGAAGGTTTGCGACCACATCGATGGCCGCGGTTGTTGGTTTGACGAATGGCTTGCAAACGCGATCCACTATGGCTTGCAGTCTGCATAATCACGAATGCTGACCTTCGCAGACTTGGCTTGCAATCGTGACGTTTCCGTCTCTGTCCAACGAATCAAGCCTGTCAGCACTTGCCATCGGCCGGCGATTCTGCACGATGGCCTGTTGGCATGGCACGATTTGAGCATAACACCAGAACAGGACCGGCATCATCTGTCTCATGGTAGTGTCGATGGGCAACCAGGCCGTTTGTGCCACAGAACAGTGAACATGCAACTGCAAGGGTCGGGCTCCATGCGCGCAGCTTCAACAATGCTCAGCAAATTGCGAGAAAGCACCTGGATCTAAAGGCTGCGCAATGCAGTCTGCGCAACCAGCATCAGACAGGTGACGGCTCAAATGCGACACACTTCGGGTGTGCGCAGGCCCTTCGCGAAGCAGTGTTTTGAAGATTCCTTGCAGTGCTTCACAAACGTGACGAAAAAAACGGCACAGCTCTTTGCTCATCCCGGGACTTTGACGATATCTTCCCGCTTCTTGTTTCTCTTTTCGACCCCGCGTGCGTATGTCAAGGTACATCAGACGCGCTTCAAGATCGATTGGGTGGTTGGTGCCAGTGCCACCACTACTTCCGGTCTGACAGAAGCGCAGCCTCCGCGTGTCGACCGACGCCACGCATCTCCGTGGGCAGCCTAAAAGTCCTTGGTAACACAGAGCTCGTCAATCTCAATCCAACCGACAGATGCGGCAATTGTCCACAGCCCGTGCCGACCCGTGAAATCGTGTAACCATCGTGCTGGTCGCCAGCCCTGCGCTCACCACGCTCGCGTGTGCTGTACGACTACTGTAATCGATTAGGTGCAGAGTGCGATTATCGACCTGCTTCTGTCTGACGAGCACGGCTGCCGAATGATCCTAGTACAACAATATTTCCTACCCCACAACATGCGGTTGGCTCGGTGGTTCTGCCTCCTTTGAGCTGGCAAGAGGTCGTGTATACGGCAGTTCACACTTGCTCGATGCAAGGCTGCTGCCATGAAGCCACCCTCCAAGCGGCAGGGCACAGTGAAGCGCTCGGTTCGGGCTGACTTCAGAGCGGCCACAGCATCCGCGCTCATCTAACATGCGCTCGTGACGGCCTCAGATGTGATGCGGTGTGGCAGACAATCAACTTACAACAGCAAACATGGTCCTGCGCTATTGGCTGCAGGGAGTCAGCTCGATATGGTGATGGTCCAGTAAGGGCAGCCGTTGGAAGGACGAGGTTTTGACCGGTCCTGTGACCTTCTGACCATGCAAGGTTTTCATTCAAGCATGGCAAGCGATGATTTACCCGCTCCATGCAAGGCACTCAGCTGGGAAGTTGAAATAACCACACGAATAAACGGCCTTGGAAGACATTGATTGGACGACTTTATTCTATTGACCTGGGCGTCGGAACGTCCGGATTGTCAATCAGCGGGCCGCCCTGATTTGCCTTTAGGTACTCGCCCAACGCGAAGGGAGCAGAAACGTCGGGCGTTCATCGATGATCCTCGTGGCTGATGGACGACAGCTTTCTCGTTAGACTTTTTGCGACTCCACAACAGCGCAGCCACTTGCAACGCTCCGCACGATGCCGAGGCGGAGACGGTACTCCAGTAGCGGCAAGCGACGAGTGTTTCGCCCTTCTCCTTCGTCCCGCGATGCGTGCAACCGCATCCTCCGAATGCGTCATCCTCAGCAGCGGGAAGTCCGGCACTAAAGGCCCCAGTGAAAGAAACTGGCCGCGTTTCTGCGCTCGAGCGGTGCGGCGGAGCTGGCGAATCACAGACACGAAGCTGTTGTTTTCATGGATTGCAGTACGCGAGCCGTCACCGGCGCAAGGGACGAAGGATCTGCCAGATGGCGATTGATAGATTTTGCAAGATGATTTGGTGGTTCATGTGGGTTCGCCGCGTGCCATGCTCGTCTTACACGAAGCACTGAGCGCTGAGGACCAAGCAAACGCAAGTTCATTGCGATCATCCAGCGGGCCAGCGTCGGCTTAATTACGCTGGAATTTACGAGGAGCTGCTGCGCTCGAGGATGAACGGTAGTTCCACAAGACGTTGCCTTCCGCTACCTGGGATGGCGGCGCCGCTGACAGGAAACTGCCTCAAGTCGCCGAGTCGTGAACATGGGCAGGCTGTCCTTACTAGCGACAGCGCGCGTCACGGGTCGGTCGGGCGCACACCAACAGCCCAGGACAGGGCTGCGTGTGCAGCCATCAACAGACATTCGACCGATGCAAGAGCGGCACCAGCCCTAATATCCCTAATTGCGACGGGCAACGTCGACAGGCACGACCCTGGTGTGCAGGATTCAGGATCGCGGGCGTGCGTCGACGTTTGAAAATGCTGCGCGTCGGCTTCACGAGGGACCATGGGATGGGAGCATGGGATGGGAGCATGGAATGGAGAATGGGGCGGGAGCATGCAGCAGCTCACCGGCACGGGTGCGAGGCAGCAGGCGTCGGATAGGCGTGGTGGTGCAAGGTGGAGCAACACGCAGTGCAACACGACGGGCACCACGACAGGCTCGTGCAGCGTCGACGAGGGCGACGAGGGCGACGATGGTGAGCGATGAGCTGTCGTGGGCAAGTGGTGCAGAAGGAAACAGTGCGCAGCAGGAGACGGCCCGCGTGAATTGAGTCGCGCACATGGCAGGCCACTATTGCCCGAGGAGTGCCCATGGAAGCATGGACGCATTAGGGCATCGTCCTTGCATGCAGCTTGCTGCAAACGAGGGGAACATGACCATGACGGCGACGCTGCGGTGGACGGCTGCAACGTGCTGTGGCACGGGACTGTAGGGCAGCAGCATGATCGAACGCTATGCTCGCTGGTGGTGAGTCTAGCGGAGCTGACACGGCGTGTTATGTATCGAGGCGGGCGTGTATTTTTAATTAAAGGAAGTCGATCCACGTTGTGACGGGATGGCCCTTTTGACCACGGGCCGCCAGCAACGCCATGCAGAGACCCCAGCATCCAAGGCCGGCCGCCCCAGCACCCAAGGCCGAAAGGGGGCGCACCATGGGCTTGGTGGGACGTGTTATGCGATGGGAGCTCGCTGATGCTGATTCAGAGACGCACTGCATGCAGAGGCCGCAGCGGGCAGCAGAGGCAGCAAAGGGCTGCTGCACGCTCGCTCGCACGCCCGCACTAGAGCTGGGTCAGCGCAGCACTCGCCTCGCCGCGTCTGGTGCGCCCCCCGCCAGGGCCGCCGTCGACCACCCACAGCGCCGCGCGATACGGGCTGCATGCGCGGGTGCGGCGAGGGCTGCTTGGCTGGCGCTGACGGTGGGTGCGCTGGACTGTGCTGGGGTGCTGGGGTGCTGGGGTGCTGGGGTGTCACAGGATGGTACTGATAGTACAACGCGTTCAGCTTTGTTGTTCACCGGCTGTGGGGGGGGGGGGGGGGGGGGGGGGGGGGGGGGGGGCGCGCAGTGCAACTGTCAGCCGCGCTAGATGGCGGACTGGCTCGACCCGATGCACTCGTTCGCTGCATGGCCGCGCCGCAGGGATCACGACGCCATCCAGCGCCATCCCAGTCAGAACGGCGAGAAGGTTTGGGAGTTCGGGCGGCGCGGTGGGTAGTAATAGCGGCCACCATCCCGCGAAAGACCTGAGTCTCCTGTCTCGTTTCCACGCTCTTGGGATCCTCCACGCGCGCTTCGAGAAGCCTGCCTTCACTCTGCTCTCACCGGCCGCCTGCCCTACACCACCGCTGCCTCTGCGTCTGCGTCTGGCGTCTGCCTCTGCCTCTGCCGTGCTCCCCTTTGCCGCCTGCCCGCCAACGCCTGCCCGCCGACGCCTGCACCGCCGGCCCTGCTTGGCTCCCTTGACGCCGTTTGCACTGCCCTCGCTGACCTGCAGCCGTCCTTGCGGGCCGCCATATTTGTGACACCTCTCCCGCCCAGAGGATCTGCCGCACCACCACACCACGCTCCCTCCGCGACGCAGCCTGCGCGCACACGTTGAGCTGTGTTCCACTGGTTCATGACGGCGTGACAGCACCACGTTGTAGGGCGGCACTTTCCACGCACTTTCCACGCACTTTCCACGCACTTTCCACGCACTTTCGACACCCGTCAACCACGCTTCCACGCACCCTCCGACCGAACCAGCACTCGCCATGTACCCGCACCAGGGTGGCCAGGGCCAGATGCCCTCTCACTGGCAGCCGCCTGCGACCCAGGCGCCTGCCAATGGCGCCTATCCGCCGCCGCCGCCCTCGCATGTAAGTTCTGCAATGCCGCAGCGCAGCAGTGTAGCCCGTGCCTAGTCACGCGTGCCTGCTCGCCGCCGTCTCTTGTCAGCACAGCACCGTGCAACGCCTCTTGCACCGTCCTGCCCAGCCTCGCGCCTGTCATAAGCTGCCCGTCCGCCCGCTGACCTGCCCGCGCAGATGAACACCACCCTCCCTCCCCCACCGCCCCAAGAGCCGCGCCCTGACATGGCCGCCCACCAGCACCCGCAGTACCAGCAGCAGTACCGTCTTCCGGGCCCCAACGAGTGGACGCGCGCCCCGCCGCCGCAAGATGCATACCGCCAGCAGGGCCCTCCCCCACCGCAGTATGTCCAGCAGCACCACCAGCCGCCCGCGCCCCGCCAGCGCACCGCCATTGCCTGCCGCTACTGCAGACGCCGCAAGGTAACTTTCCATTGTCAATTCTCTCCCCGGCGTGTCTTGCTCACCTCTCACAGATCCGCTGCTCTGGCTTCGAGGCCACCGAGGACGGCCGCTGCTCCAACTGCATGCGATTCAACCAGGACTGCATCTTCACGCCCGTCTCGGCGCAGACACAGGCCTTTGTCCCGGCGCACACTGTCTGGCGCGGCGTCGGCGCTCCCCCGCCCATGTACGGCGCATACGGGCAGCCTCTGCCGCCTGCAAACCACGCAGAGGCCTATCCCCAGCCGCCTCGCCAGGGGCAGCAGCAGGGTTATTTGCCCAGCCCTACCGCAGGTCCGTATTCCTATGGTCCGCCCAGTGCTCACTCAGATGAGGGCAGCCGTGACGACCTGACTGGCAGGAAGAGGCCCCACCCGGAGCCTCACACTCCCACCCTGCCACCGCCAGCTCCTGGCTCAGCGTCACAGGGCTCTCATCGAGCATCTGGTCAAGACTATGCGTATCCAGAGCCACCGTCTCTAACCCAAGCGCCGCGAACAGCCACCCCTTCGGCACCTTACTCGGCTGCCCCTCCCGCATCCCAGCCGTACTACACCGCACAGCCTCCTCGCCAGGCTTCCCCTCAGAGCGCCTACCGCTACGATCCTAGTCGCACATCCTCCTCTCCACACTCGCAAGCGCCCACCACTCCTGGGTCAGCCTCCGCGCCCTACTACCCTCCCCAGCAGAATGGCGCTCTGCAGCCCAACCCACCCCGCAGCGATGGCAGGACTCCACCGCCACCGACCTCGCAGCCTGCCAGCAGACCTGGCATGCGCATCAACGACATCGTGAGCGACAACGGAAACGGACGCAGCTCGACCGACTCGGACATGCTCAACATGCTCAACCGCCGCCCCATGTGAAAACCTCTTCCGCATTAGAAGCGGAGCTCCGGAGCTGGCTCTCGAAAGGAGCACACATAGTGCAACGTACAACAAGCAGAGCTTTACGCACCGGCGGTCGCCTGTCGCCACTTTGTTTCTTTGTACAACCTTGATTTCGTCGCCATTGCCCGCCTGTCCTTCGCGAGGCGTCCAGGCCGGCAGTGGCGTCAATTTTTTGGGTGGCTTTCTGAATCTTACAGCGTCAAAGAGCATCAATCGATTTTCTAATACTCGTCTCGAATCTGTCTCTCCCGGATACCGTTTCCTGTGCCGATCCTTCGACTACCGCAACACATGTTCTTGCTGGAGGATGTCTCAACTGTTCTACCACCTTACAAAGGAGGTGATTTCATACGTTGGCGGCGAGCGCTCGATACACTTTTTCTTCTACGTTTTCTCCGAAATTGGGTGGTCATCTGCACTTTCTCGCTACTAGATCTGGGGCTGCATACAGGAGGTGCTTTGATTACTTCCACAAGCATCATTGCACGCACGGGGTCAGGCCAGCATCGTGCTTCGTTGCATCTTGCTGGATGTCGTGGTTGTTTGTGTTTCCATTTGCGCTATATACTCTCTTAGTTTGTCTGGATGTCGCTTTGACAAAATAGCGTGGCTTCTTCGTTTCTCTCCTGTCTTTACCGCGGTTCGTCTCAACAGCTGAGATGCTGAGATGTCTTTTTTCTTTGGGCACAATGGCTTGGGTGGCAATCTGATTTTTACAAAGCAAACAGCGTATACTAGTTACTGGATCTCGATCATCTAAATTGAAGGGTTGACACACATTCGAGCTTCACTCGGTGCGACTCCTCCCTCCTCAGGCAGCATCACGGCATTGCTCTCACAGATCGAAAGAGTCAACCACGGTTCTCCTCATTTCAGGGTCCTACCTCTTGCCTGTCCAGTACCGGCATGTCAGACTGTCATGCTGACGCACGGGTACGCGCGGTCAGGACAGCTGCAAGCAACTTGCTCAATCAATTTCCGCTCAACCAGACTTTGATTATCATCTGGACCGGTCCGTTATCGATTCTGCGAACTCACGGTCCGTCTCTGAGGTCACGGACCGGTGCGCAACGTGAAAAGGGCGATGAGACGGTGTCAGGGACCTGAGCTATAATTCGGCGCGCTTCGGACCTTAGTCCTAGGGTGCCCAAACTTATGGCTTCTGTTGGCGGATTTCGGGCAACTTGCTTGGTTCAGGCCGGCTTGAGCCTTGACCTATGCAGGAACTGCTCTTGCGAGGTGCCGAAAATGAGTCATTGAGCGCGACGGGGAACCCCGTTGCAGCATTTCATTGTAAGACAACGATCCGGGAACTGGGAACTCACGAGTGCTGAACACAGCTGGCCTCACGGCTGCTGCTGTTGGCTGCGGTGTATCGGCTAACACCTCCCAATAGCGTCCAACGGAAGCGGCAAATCGAATCGCGACATCGCAAACTCCCACATTTCAAAGACCCGACGTCTTTGTTCCCGCATTCCAGCGCTCCTTGGGCCGCAGAAGGGGCCGCGTTCTCAGAACCCAATGTCGTGGGCCTCCCTCCCACTCCCTCCCGCAGCACTGCAAACGGAAGTACCGGAATCCGCTCCCTTGATCATGCGAGATGCATCGATCGAGAGCGACGCCAGTACCACCACTGTGTCCCGGTGTCTTCCTCCCTCCAAGCTCTTCTAACTCGCAGCTAAAACATGTGTACCATGGTACACGGCTCGCGTGCCTCGCCGCTTTACAGCCGCTTCCCGCATCGCCCTCGACCCGCCTGCGCAAGCAGAGCCAATCAAGCACACTCTCTCAGTGGTACGCCAAAGCGGTAAACATGTACCACGGTTCGAGCGCAGGCTAGTCGGCACATTGGACGCGCCGCGAGTGCCGCGGAAGGACCCATAAGCGGTGTGAGAATGCAAAGAGTTGAATCGAGTGTGCGAGTATCGTAGGGGTTTTGGCTGCCGCGTGATATGGACTACGACAGACGAGGTGTTAGGGATTTTAGTGTACCAAGATTGCGAGTGGAGCTGCTGAGTGAGCAGCTGTCGCTGTGTCGACAGGGGCTGCGGATGTCAGCTTGCGAAGGGTTGTGTTGTCGACTCACGCAACGTCTATTCGTATTGACAATTATATAGATGGCGCGACGTGAAGTTCATACGCTCGTATGTGGGGGAGTAACTTTGCAGCGGCGTGCTGAGTAGTGAGGCATCAACCACTGCCACGTGTGGGTGGGTGGGCCGACCGGATACCAACCCTTCGTGATCTCGACACGTCTTTCGGGAGGGACTTTGAATCATCATCGGAGGATTTCCTGGATCAGGACGGGGAATTAAAATTTGCTTGCTGGGAAGGCGCGTGTCGGTGTTCTTCTCGAAGCAAACGCTCGGGCGTTTCGACCGAGTCAGTGCCGGAGACTACATGAAACGTGCAGCTATCCTGGACCTAGTGGTATATATGTCTTGGTGTGTGGTTTGGTTTCGAAAGGGATGCCTGGGGGATTATGGTGCGGTTCTGGCACTGGTGGGATGACGATGCTCCGAAGAATGGAGCGTCATTACGAGTGCCCGTGGCCAATCTGAGTATACGGTTCAACGCTCGGATTTGGAGGTTCGTCCATCTGAGTCGTTGGCATCGTTCACTTCCTAATCAAGATGCCGATATCGCGAAAGAGATGACGAGTCTAGCTGTGTGGCAGAAAACGACACTGATCGGAACACGCTACCACATCGCTCGTCCAGGCCCTCACGTTGAACTAACTGCCTGGGACACTCGACCGTAGCTACTCGTCGACCTCGCGCTCACATCTTGCACCGGGCCGCTTGCCAACCTTGTCACAACACACTGTCGCATCAGACGCGTCCCCGCAACCGTCCTGGCAGGGAAGCGTGGTAAGCACGCATAGACCCACCCTGACTTTGCATGCACGCTACATGGGCGAGTTGGGCAGCAACATCAAGGAACAGGTCCTGCTGATGCCGGTGCACGAACTACCCGGCGTGCGTAGCCCCCTGGGGATGGGCTTCTCGGAGCAGTCTCGCGGGCAGTCGAAGGTCAGAGAGGAGGACGTTTCCCCGTGGCTCGGGGGGAGGGTGTTTCCCGTAGCTCGGGAGGAGTATATCAGTCGTGTCGGGATTTGGAGCGGGCCGGCTATAGTGACACGAGTTATACATCACTGGAGCGGTTGCTTCTTCCTTGCACCAATCATGCTCCGTTTTGTTTACCAAGAGTTAAGCACTTGGAGATCATGTCCTTCTCCCTCCGGCAACAGCTCGTGCGATATCTTTATCCGGGAGCAGGATGACCCTTGTTTCCTCGTTCAGCGCAAGGTCGAAGAATATGGAGGAGTCGGCCATGGTCCGCTCGACTGGGTTAATCCTACACTCTTTCAAGGCGTATGCTTGCATGCTCCGCAGCTCTCTTGTATCGAAACACAGCACCGGCGCTTGTATGTGCAAGCACCCGACGCTCTGCTGCCACACTCTATTTGGGCTGTCGTTGCTTCTTCTCAAGACCTGTCGTTGCTTCTTCTCAAGGCCTGGCAGTTCTCAGTGCGGATTCAGCTTCATGAGCTTCGTGTTCCCCGGGCTCCTACTCTTCCCCCAGGGGCTCCTTCTGTATGATGCAAACCGCTGGCAACAGCTATGTTTTTCTGTGTCTCGGAGCTCTCCCTCAAATCACGACGCGATGATGAAACGGGGTAGTGTCTCCTGTGCTCTTCCAAAACAGCGCAGCCACTGGCAGTTGTGTGTTTCTGGAGTTTTTCAGACCATTTACTATTTCTATCGAGCACTAAACTTCAAGCACCACGTCTCTGGCTCGGCAAAAGCTCCGCCTCTCCTGTGCACTTCCATTCAGCCTGAGATTCCACTATTGTTAAAACAGACACAAGACTAGGAAATCGCGACGCGATGATGAAACGGGGCACTGTCACCTGTGCTCTTTCAAAACAGCGCAGCCACTGGCGATACGTGTGTTTCTGGAGTATTTCAGACCTTTTACCTGAGATTCCACCATTGCTGAAACGAAGACAAGACTGAGAAAAGGCCGTGGGTTGTTGACGGGTCTGCTACACGGCCGTGAGCGCCATGAAAATTCCAGGGTGCAACACGGACACGTCGGACATGTCATGTGATCGTCATTATCATCCAAGTGAGCGCCTGAAACCTCCAGAGTCAAAGACACGTCGGAATGTCACATCATAGTCATTGTCATCCAAGTGAGCGCTTGAAAACTCCACAGTCACGGACGGGCCGGAGGTGTGAAGGATGTGTTCTATATTCTAGTCATTATCATCAAGGTCGACGGCTTATCATGCCAAGCTATGTATCCAGCATCTCTCGCACGCAGTCCTCAAACCCTCGTTCAGAAGCTTCCTCGTCTCGCGTGACCTCTCTACCGGGCGTTGTTCTGAGGCGCCGCAGTAGGGGGTCCAGTCGGCGTTGTGTAGCACTTGGTCATACCACCATCGACGACAAAGTCTGTGCCGTTGACGAAGCTCGCCTCGTCGCTGGCCAGGAAGAGCACAGCCTGTGCTTGCTCAATGGCCTCGCCGAAGCGGCCACTCGGGAAGTGGACTTCGCGGCGGTGACGCTTCTCAGCGTCGTCGCCGAGCCAGTCTTGCAGGAGGGGAGTGCTGGGGAAGTCAGTATACGCAGTCTGTGTAGCTGGTCTTCCGAGGGCTTACTTCAGCGGCGCCGGACACAGCGAGTTGAACCGGAAGCCCTCCCTCGCGTGGACCATGGCCAGCTCTCGTGTCATGGCGAGGACTGCGCCCTTGCTAGCTGTGTACGCCAACTGCGGTGTGGCAGAGCCAACGAGACCGACGACACTGGCAGTGTTGATGACGCTCGCCTTCGTCTTGCCATGCTTGCGGAAGCTCAGCACGGCATGCTTGCTGCCAAACCACACACCCTTGACGTTGATGGCTTGCGTGAGATCCCAGATCTTCTCGGGGGTGTTGACAGCATCGTCGTCGTCGGCGTGCATGATGCCGGCGTTGTTGAAAATCACGTCCAGACCGCCCCAGGCATCGACGGCGGCGACGACGGCCTCAACGTCGGACTCCTTGGAGACATCGCAGACCTTGGTCTCAATTTTGAGCGATTTGGCGGTGGGGACTACTTGGTGCAGCTTCGCGAGCGCCTTCTCCAGCGCCGGGCCTGAGATGTCGGACATGAGGATGTTGGCGCCCTCGCGCGCGAAGAGAATCGATGTCTCGAGTCCGATGCCGCTGCGTCGTGTTAGTAGCGGTTCTCAAGACGGTCTTGTGTCTCAGTTGGGTCATATGCGACCAAGTCACGTTGATGCCAAGACTCGAAAAATGACACGCATGCAGTTGCGGCGGATATTCTCGCCACGGCCAGAATTCTCGCCACGGCCAGAATTCTTGCTCGCTCAGAACTCTTGCTCGCTCAGAACTCTTGCTCGGTCAGATTCCAACTCTTGCTCGATTTCGTGAATTTCAAGCATGCATCTCTTCAATTGGCATTCGCAGACTTGGTTGATTCAGCACACAGACAGCACTTACCCAGCGGCGCCGGTGACGACGGCGTTCTTTCCTTCAAGACGGCCCATGGTGAATACGTGCAGTCTCAGTGTCGGGGTGGTCGGAGTACAGGAGTGGTATCAGAGTTCTGGGCAGCGTTAGAGGCGAGGTTTGAAGTTTTATAGTCACGATGGTCGATATTAGTCATATTCACAGGGCGGGAGGCGTCATCCCTCTTTGTCAACGGGGAAGGTTTGCCAGCGCAGCGCCATCACTCGGATCGCGTACCTTTGACGGAGGGGCTTTTGCAGGTGTTGTCAGACGATGGAGGCGGCGGTGGAGAGCGTCAGTTGCAGGTACGGGGAGTTCAGGCTGGCGACGGCCGGTGTAATTGAGGGGACGATATCGGCGGCGAGAGATAGAGCGATAAGCGCCCGTTTCGGCGACAGCGGCGGCGGCGGGCAGGAGCGGACGCGTCACAGAGCGGTGAGGGCGCGTCGAGGACTCGAGCAGCTCGAGGGTCCCATTCATGGTCGCGTGGCGCTCGTTGCGTTGCGTTGCCTCGCATCGAAAGCGCTCCATGCTGTCACGTCTGTCTACTATGGGTGGCACAACGAGCGCCGCCATCTAGCGGGGCATCATGGCGGTGAAGGGCGGGGCATCACAGTGTCGCTCTGGAGGGTGCTGGCTGAGAGTCGGGCGTCGCGCGGGCTACCTGCTTTGTTGCAAGGGACAAATACTGCAGATAGCACGGTGCAGGCGTGCGTGATCCTTTATAGGCAGTCTACTCCCGGCGGCGCGCGAGGCTGCTGTCAGATGTTGCTGTCCGCCCCGCCGTGTCGCGCTAGCCCGGTCCCCTCCGCCGCCGAGGACGTCATTGGCCCGCGACTGCTCGCTGGAGCTCCGCACAGCTATCGCGTCGACGACGACGACGGCTGAGGCTGGACGCCCGTTGCCCGTAGCCAAACTGACCGCTGCCCATAGCCAAACTGCCCGCTGCCCGCACTCGCAGATTGCAGATAACCCGGCTGGAGTGCTTCGTCTTCGTGTTCATCACTCCCCCCTCCCCGCTCCATCAGCCCCTTCACTCCCTCGCTCCCCTGCTCCCTCGCTCCCTCGCCCCCTCGCCCCCTCGCCCCCCGCACACAGCACCATGGCCGACCAGCGCGTGACGGTCGAGTCGCTCCCCGAGCTGCTCAAGGACGATGTCGCCGTCAAGGTGGCGGGCATCGACGTGGACGGGATGCTGCGCGGCAAGCTGATGGCCAAGAGCAAGTTCCTGTCCATCGCCCAGGACGGCTTCGGCTTCTGCAGCGTCGTCTTCGGGTGGGACATGCACGACCAGACGTACTTCCGCGAGCTCGGCGTGTCCAACAAGGAGAATGGCTACCGCGACCTGGTGGCCGTGCCGGACCTGGCCTCGTTCCGCCGCATCCCCTGGGAGAAGAACGTGCCCTTCTTCCTCGTCTCGTTCCACGACCCGGACACGCACGAGTCGCTGTACGCGTGCCCGCGCAGTCTGCTGCGGCGCGCCGTCGACAAGCTCCGCGACAACGGCTACGGGGCCATGGCCGGCGCCGAGTACGAGTTCTACCAGTTCCGCGCGCCGCAGACACACGCCGGCCCGGAAAGGAACTCGAGCGGCACCGCGACGTTCCTGCGCGAGAACCCCGTCAACGCGCTGCCCAGCCTGACAGAGGGCATGTTCGGCTACAGCATCACGCGGACGGTCCACAACCAGGACTACTTCTACGGCATCTTCGACGCCTGCGAGAAGTTCAACTGCGGCATCGAGGGCTGGCACACCGAGTCCGGCCCGGGTGTGTTCGAAGCCGTGAGTCTTCCACAGCAGTGCGGCAGCAGCAGTGGCTAACGACCGTCCAGGCGCTCCAGTTTGGCGAGATCAGCGCCATGGCCGACAAAGCGTCGCTCTTCAAGCTCGTGGTCAAGTCGCTCGGCTCGCAGTACGGCATCACGCCGTGCTTCATGGCGAAGCCGCGCGAGGGCCTGCCCGGGAACAGCGGCCACATGCACGTCTCCATTGTCGACGAGGCTGGCAAGAACCTGTTTGCGCGGGAGACGGAGGACACAGACGCCCCGTACTCGGACATAGGGTTCCTGAGCGACCTGGGCCGCCACTTCCTCGCCGGCCTGATTGACGGCCTGCCGTCGATTATGCCCATACTCGCACCCAACGTCAACAGCTACAAGCGGCTCGTGGAGAACTTCTGGGCGCCCGTGACGGTCTCGTGGGGCCTCGAGCACCGCGCCGCGTCGATCCGGCTCATCGCGCCGCCGACGGCCAGCGCAAAGGCGACGCGCTTCGAGGTGCGCGTGCCCGGGGCAGACACCAACCCACACCTGGTGCTGGCGGCGATCCTGGCGCTCGGGTGGCGCGGGATCGAGAAGAAGCTGCAGATATCGATTCCGCCGCTGGGCAAGGGCGAGGACGTGGGCGGGGCGGCGGACAAGGGCGAGAGGCTGGCCAAGAGCCTCAAGGAGGCGACGGACAAGTTCATGGCGGCCGACAGCGTGGCGCGCGAGGTGTTTGGCGACGCGTTTGTGGAGCACTTTGGCGGGACGCGACAGCACGAGATCCGGCTGTGGGACGAGGCGGTGACGGACTGGGAGGTGAGGCGGTACATTGAGACGGTGTAGACGAGTGCGCTGTATGCAGCCATGTACTAGCCATGTACTAGCCACGTACAAGCAGTGTGTAGACATTTACTAGCCACGTACAAGTAGTGTGTAGACATTTACTAGCCACGTACAAGTAGTGTGTAGACATTTACTAGCCACGTACAAGTAGTGTATGTAGACATTTACTAGCCATGTATAAGCAGTGTGTGTAGACATTTCCTAGCCACGTACAAGCAGTGTATGTAGCCATGTACTAGCCACGTACAAGCAGAGTGTGTAGCCATTTACTAGCCATGTACAAGCAATGTACAAGCAATGTACGGTAATGCAATGCCACAATACTAGATGCAATGCCACGATACTAGATGCAATGCCATGATAGCAGCAATGTACGATAGCAATGTACTAGCCATCTACTGGCAGCGCATGTAGCCATGTACTAGCGGTGTATACAGCAATGTACTGGCAGCGTATGTAGCCATGTACTAGCAGTGTATACAACAATATACTAGCAGCGTATACAACAATGTACTAGCAATGTTTACAGCAATATACTAGCAATGCCACGAGGTGAGGCGGGTGGTGAGCGGCGAGAGAGTGGTCACTGGTCAGGTGAGCGGCGAGAGAGTGGCCACTGGTCAGGTGAGTGAGGCTAAATGGCCAGGCTGAATGAACGGATTGGACGGGCGTCGAGGCCGTCAGCCTGTTCGTGCGGGACCTGTGGCCGACTGCGTTCGACGGCGTTGGACAAGTTGCCTGTTAGGGCAGGTTGGGGGCTCGTTGGCCGCTGATTGGGGCTTGCTGGCCGCTGATTGGGGCTTGCTGGCCGCTGATTGGGGCTTGCTGGCCGCTGATTGGGGGCTCGCTGGTCGTTGGTCGTTGGCCGGGGGCGTTGGCCGCGGAGCGCGGGTTGGCGCAATCCAACAGGTACCATAAGCGGCAGGGTCCACGGCGGGACTCTCTCTGGCAGGGCCCACGGCTGTCTCTCTCTGGCAGGCCCACAACCAGTCTCTCTCTTCGCAGGCCCCACAACTGGACTCTCTCTTCGCAGGCCCCACAACCAGTCTCTCTCCTCGCAGGCCCCACAACCAGACTCTCTCCTCGCAGGCCCCACAACCAGACTCTCCTCGCAGGGCCACGGCTCGACTCTCCTCGCTCCATGGCGCACCTCGACTCCCTCGACGACGGCACGCTGGTGCTCGCGGCAGTCGGCGCCGCGACGCTCGTCTTCCTCTACCTGCTGCTGCGGTCCGATGCAGAGGCGGCTGTGCCGTACACTGTCGCGCCGCCCGAGCAGGCGCAGCCTGGCTGGAAGGGCCCTGTGCTGGCCGAGCCCGCGCTGAAGGTCTCGGGCTCGTCGCTCATCCAGTGCTACGCGCCGGCCACGGGCGAGGCGCTCGCTCGCGTCAACCCCGCGACTGCAGATGGCATCGACCGCGCCGTCGGCCGCGCAAAGGCCGCGCAGGTCGCGTGGGCCCGCACGTCGTTTGCCGCGCGCAGAAAGGTGCTCAGGACGATGCTCGCCTTTGTCCTCGCCAACCAGGAGACAATCGCCCGCGTCGCGTGTCGCGACTCGGGCAAGACCATGGTCGACGCCGCCCTGGGCGAGATTCTGGTCACGGCCGAGAAGCTGCGCTGGACCATCCGCCACGGCGAGGAGAGCCTGAAGAGCGAGCGCCGCGCGACCAACCTGCTGCTGGCGTACAAGTGGAACGAGGTCCTGTACCAGCCGCTGGGCGTCGTCGCCGCCTGCGTGTCGTGGTACGCTCGCTGCGCGCACTCTTGCCGCCCCGCTGTCGACGCACGCTGACCGTCCAGGAACTACCCCTTCCACAACCTCGTGTCGCCCGTCATCGCCGCCATCTTCGCGGGCAACGCCGTCGTCGTCAAGGGCTCCGAGGCCACGGCGTGGTCGTCGTCGTACTTTGCGTCGATTGTGACGCGCGCGCTCGAGGCGTGCGGCCACTCCCCCGACATTGTCCAGTCGCTCGTCTGCTGGCCCAGCGTGGCCGACCGCCTGACCTCGCACCCGGACGTCAGCCACGTGACCTTTATCGGCTCGCGCCAGGTCGCGCGCCAGGTCTGCGCGTCGGCCGCAAAGTCGCTGACGCCCGTGTGCGTCGAGCTGGGCGGCAAAGACCCCGCCATTGTCCTCGACGACCTGTCCGACGGCGACTTCAACCGCGTGGCCAGCATCCTGATGCGCGGCGTGTTCCAGTCCGCCGGCCAGAACTGCATCGGCATCGAGCGCGTGATTGCTCTGCCCCGGGCCCACGAGCGCCTCGTTGCGCATCTGACGCCCAAGATCCGCGCGCTCAAGCCCGGATCCGTCCTCGACGCGCCTAGGGGCACCGCCGTCGACGTCGGCGCCCTGATTAGCGCCGCTGGCTTCGACGGCCTCGAGTCCCTGATTGCCGACGCCGTCAAGAGCGGCGCCCGCCTCCTCGCCGGCGGAACGCGCCACGTCCATCCCGAGCACCCCCAGGGCCACTACTTCACGCCCACCTTCCTCGCAGACGTGACGCCCTCGATGGCAATCGCCCAGCAGGAGCTCTTCGCCCCCGTGTTCCTGCTCATGCGCGCCACGTCGGTGTCGGACGCCATCTCCACAGCAAACAGCACCATTTACGCCCTCGGCGCCAGCGTCTACGGCTCCTCCACCACCGACCTGGAGCGCGTCGTCGGCGAGGTCGACGCTGGCATGGTCGCCGTCAACGACTTTGCCGTCACCTACATGGTCCAGCTCCCGTTTGGCGGCGCCAAGGGCAGCGGCTACGGCCGCTTCGCCGGCAAGGAGGGGCTGCGGAGCCTGTGCAACCTCAAGGCCGTGACGAGGGACCGCTGGCCGGGCATCAAGACGAGCATACCGGGACCCATGGACATGCCGCTCAACGGCCCCGGCGCCGGCGCCGCCGCCTGGCGCATGGCCCAGGGCATCGTGTTGCTAGGGTACGCACCCACTCTGATGGGGAAGCTGGAGGGCCTGGCGAGCATGCTGGGGATATAGGCTGACGGGAGCACGTCAATGTGTCGTTTGTGTATGATATGTATCATGTTTATGTGTGATTTGTATGTCATGTTATTGTCATGTTGTCGTCGTGTTGTTGTCGTGTTGTTGTCGTGTTGTTGTCATGTTGTTGTCGTGTTGTTGTCG